CAGAATTGTGGCAATGTCCGTCACTGGAGGTGGAGGATGAGAGTCTGTACCCGGTGGAGGGGAAGGTGGTGGGGAGTCGTGTCTCCCATCTTGACGTTGTCCCTTCTTACCGCCCATCTTTGTGTGTGCGTCGACTGCACTGTTTAGTATATAAAGTGGCGCCTCAACAGCTCGAACCACATATATATGACATAAACAGCGCAGAAATAACGCATAGAGTCCACTGTTCTGTCCGTGAATGAGTGCGTGCGTGTGTGTGTGTGTGTGTGTCTCAGACAGCAGATGCACTTCGTGGTGTCCTTAATGCCGGTGGCTAGAGACGCGGAGGGGGTGAGACCGTCAGTGTCTCCCGGGATGTCACACGAGAAGGGTGTACGCCTGCGTGCTCCGTGGGTACAACAAAAAACAGGCCAATGCTCAACTCTCAGCTCTAGACACACACTAATACACTGACACTAACACTGCCACCGTCACTAAAACGCACTGTGACGGAGCAACACTGCACGTCCGAGCGAAACACAGTGCAACACAACACAACACACTATGAGTCGACGCGCACATCACATCGCCGGCTAACTGTCCATTATTCACACACTTGTAAGTCCACAGATCCTAGTCACTGCGCCATGAAGGTTACAAGTGTTCCTTGAAGAATGCAGTGATGGGTAGGGAAACACCGGGTAACACTGAAGTCCATTTATTTATGGATAAGAGAATTACAAGTGGTGACTAGCGTGTGCCATGCACGGCTCACACAGTCAGACTGAGACTGCCTTGCCATATGGCAGCCTCGGGGCAATGTTGCCACATAAAATGTGCAGTGTTGCCACGTAATTATATACATAGATGCTACTCAGCACAATAGCTTATATACAAGGTTGCTACTCGGCACAGTAGCATAGATACATAACCTACAGTTACCGCATAATATAAATCTTGTGGAAGGGGGAAGCTTTGTCATGATCGTGATAATGGCTAACCTGAAAACCTTAAGGATTCATATTACGCTCAAACGTCCACAAAACCTACCGAGTCCCCCAGTGGAAACGTCCCCCGTTTTCTCTGTTTCCCCATCTTTGTCTTAGGGGAACTTTGAATATAATCCGCGGATTTCGTAGCAGACGTTGTATGTTGGGACCTGTTGCCATCCAATCAATTTAATTTTGCTTTTGATAGCTGAGTCAGAGCATTGTTAGTGAAGATAATAGTAGGGAATGAAACTGAGTTCATAGTCTCAGTTTCAACATCAGAGTGTACAGTAAATTAATTCATCGAAATAGAAGTAGGTGGACTCCCTGGCCTATTTTGAGTGGGTGCCGCGGGCATTTCTACAGTTAGTAAGTGCCCTTCCCTTCATCCATACAGGTATACCATTCTACTCTGTGTTATGATTCGCCCTTCTTTAAGTGATTTGACCCAATTAATAGTTGATTGTGCAAGTGTTACAGTAACGTAGTTGATATGCTCTGAGTGAAGTCATATTTACGTCTTTAACGTCCCCTGAAATGTGATGTCGTTGTCACTGTTAGTAAGTGCCCGTCCCTTGATCCATACAGGTCCCTAACGCAGCCTAGGCTGTGTCTATAGCGTGGATGTTGTATCCACTATGTCTGGGGAGATGTCCGAGGTCCAGTAGGATCAGTTACCTTCGTGAGACCCGGCCATCAGACACTTCAGACTACCTATGGCCCCCATAGCTGGCTCGTCTAGCCCTAACGCTCGGCCTGCGAGGTGACCCCGGATCACCAAGCCACACACCACTACCAGCCCCCATCATTAGTGGATGAGTGTCTAACTCAGTAGGGCTATTTGTGTGGTGGAATTAATCCACTGGGATCTTCAGAGTTCGTCGGAAAGTACTCCATGGTGGCTGGACCCCATGGCTGTTGCTTGAGTATCACTCCTGACGACTGAGTGTTGTAGTGGCAGTTGCCCTGTTCTTTATGGTGCTAAGTGACTATAAGAGTTATGTGTTATTGAGTATGTCCACCCAGTAGGGTTGGAAGTGTAATTGAGTATGTCCACCCAGTAGTGGTGTGAGTATGTTGAGCCTGAGGGCATAATACCAGATTTCGTCTGTTGGTACATATATATTCTTTCTCCTACCTCCATATTAATGTTTAAATAAATTTTGTATTTGTATATTGTGTCTATTATTTACCTACAGTATCTACCGTCATTTCTTCCCTATTACTTGATACTATCATTACATATACCCACGAGCCTCCTCTCGTCACGCTACCAATGGTAATAAGTATGAGAGTAAAAGGAATTGTTACTGACACACAGTCCCTTATAAATGGTGGCAGTCCAGGCCCTTATACTGGAACTCCTTTTCAGCCCTTCTACACTCTGTCTTTGCTTGGTTTCTGGCTCTTGCACACATCCTCCTGTCTTGCTCATTGTTTGACCCAACCCAAGTCTTGAATTTCTGGGTTTTCTTCTTAATTTTGTCGACTGCCGCATGGTTCATGTGTAGGGATCCCCTCGTATTCCTAGAAGCACTGGGTTTGGTCTTGGGTATATATTTATCGATCAAATGGGTCACTTTACTAGTTATGATATTCAGCGTAGTGTCTGCGTTCTTGTACCTTAATGAGTCAGGCCAGTTGATACCACTCATCTCTTCCCTCATTCCATTGTAATTTCCCTTGTAATATTTGCACCTTGGCCTGGCCTTATCCTGAACTAGGTAACAGTTAAATCTGAATGACAACACTATATGGTGACTGGTGCCAACTGGGGCAAGGTGTTCCAGTTTGGCCACCATACCCTCCTCGTTTGTTCTGACCAGCCCAAGGTGTATACAGATCAGTCAGCAACCTGGGACTTGGTCAAAAATTTGGTGATGCCATATGGCAGCAGGGTCTACCATTAGACGACACATTATGTTTCCAATATCTTCCCAGGCGGTAATACCCTCCCTGTTTGATAGCTGCCTAATAAAGTTATGTTTTTCGAATATTTTAATAGATAAAATTACAAACAACATTACTTGTTGAAGGTGAGCAAGGCTTTGAAGTCGAGGGAAAATGTGGGGTAAAATACTACAAATAACATCAAACAAACCTTTGAAAACCTGGCCTTACGTTTCCTAACCTTTAAAAATCCTAAAACTAAAAGGTTTACCGTGTTCATATTTTCGGTATTTAGGTCGTGATGCTGTTTTCGGTTTTTAGTGTGTCTTGTTTTCGGAATTCAGATGAGGGGGTTCATAAGCTTTAAAGTGATTCTTAACATTTTTAAACGTTAGGAAACGTTAGGTCAGGATTTCAAAGGTTTATTTGGTGTTATTTGTAGTATTTTACCCTGTAGTGGATTTCTCCCCTACAAACACTGTTTGTCGCTGACGAGCAGACCCAAGAATCCAGCCTCACCTCGTGTCTAGGTCAGCAACCAGCGCCGCCCTACATCACGGAGGTCAACTATTAAGCAACGCCTACCTCCGCTATTTAAGACGTGACCTCGGGGTGACCTATCTCTTTCTACCTAAAGCCACCAGCAAGCAACACCTCCTGCACTCCTGCCTCGCGGTCCTCGCTCCCGCCGGCGAGCATGGCGACCCACAAGCTGGTCCTCCTCTGAGCGTCCTCACCAACCAGCTCTCTCTACTCAACGCTCGTAACCATGCTGCCTTCCCAGCACCAAGCTGCATTGTACATCCAACACAACATGTATACAGAGAGCACATTGTGAGTTTCCTTTCTCCATCCCATCCTGAGTGTGAACCATTTCAAATGTACCCCACAATATCTACATGTACGTACGTTTGTGTGCCCATACAAACACTAGCGTAGCTAGGGGGGGGCGGGGGGGGCGGTCCGCCCCGGGCGGCACTTTTGGGTCTGCTCATCACCCATATCTGCAGCTACTGGAGACGTTAATCCATCCCTTTGTATCGGCGGCAAGTTAATCCTTGTCGTGTCTGACCTAACACCTGACCCACATCATCACGGCCACGTCATGAGCTACACCCTTGCTATGCGCCCCCCCGCCCACACACACAACCTGTAACCTGTTGAGGATTAAGGAAACAACTTCAAACAAGTACGCCAGTGAGCTCATGTGGTGTGGGTCAGGTGTTAGGTCAGACACGACGAGGATTAACTTGCCGCCGATACAAAGGGAAGGATTAACGTCTCCAGTAGCTGCAAAACCATGCAGTCTCGGGTCATATTAGTTCATGTACAGCCGACCAATCCACCAGTTACGAGCAATTCACTTCAGTTCTGCACAAGTCTCCATCGTGACAAGACGAGTGAGTCACTGTGCAATATGTATTTTTTGTGGGGGCACGGGGGGTGGGGGGGGGGTGGGGGGGCAAGCTCAAGGGCCGCCCCGGGCGGCACACACTCTAGCTACGCCACTGCATACAAAGAGAAAATAGACAACTAAAGAGAATTGACAACTGGCCACATACAGTACGCTTCAACAACATGTATACAGAGAGCACATATTGAGTTTCCTTTCTCCATCCCATCCTGAGTGTGAACCAAATATCAGGTAACCCACAACCCCACATTTTCCCTGGACTTCAAAGCCCTGCCCATTTTAAATAAGTAATGTTGTTGGTAATTTTGTCTATTAAAATATTCGAAAAATATAAATTTAATTTCATAAGGAAATTCCTGAGAAAAAAGTGTTTTAGAATAGACAGAACTATGCGAAAAATGTATTTTTTATGGAAAACTTTAAACCTGGCTATTTTCATAAATTGACCGTTACTTGTGTCTTTATATCAGGTATTATTTTACTATAGGACATAGGGCTCCCGAAAGTTATGAACTACTGAAACATTTAGATCTCCCTCCCTATTCTGGGCATTTTGAACCCCATATGTAGCAGGAGGAAATGGATAATAGCGACACAAATTCGTTTAAAACATACCAAAATACACTGGAAAAACATATGGTCAACCCCTAGGGACTCGTGTCCTAAAGTAAAAATTTACCATATATCAAAGCTAGTATTTTAACGAGTCATCTTCCAGTTGTTACTTGTTATTTGTCAACATCTACTCATCAGCTGTTACGTTGTGATGGTGGACTTTCTCAGGCCAAAAACAGTCTGGGTGGACGGCCGTTGTTACCGTATTATCAGCCCCCTGACTGATAATACCAACGTTAACTACGTCGAAGATGATTCATGCGGCTTTGGTAATGTTTAGCTTTATTGTTTTTGTTTTTTTCAGAAGCTGTTTATAATACCCTGTACTGTAGCTGCTGTTTCAAGACCACATTGGGCTGGAGACGGTACTCGGAAAAAGTGGTATTATTGCATTTTCGCACCCCACATACCTACCCCTAATCTATTATCATATTCGAATGAGACGTCCAATTATAAGATAATTTTCTTCTATTACATTACCGTCGCAAATGTATAATAATGAAGAAAGCGTATCCAAAATTTTCTCAATTTCTTCCATTATCGCCTACCTCACCTACCACACTGCGTGTCTCCTTCATAAATCATCACGCGCATGCGTTCCCGTACACGTCAGCAGCCAATCAAAAGCGTTTTTTGGGGGGGCAATCAATTAAAATGATTTGTGTTTTAATTCGCTGTATTTTGGCCCAATCAAATTCGATTTTTATTTTGGGTCTCATATTTCCAATTTCATATTCATTTCCGACCATGGAAGTCTGCGATGGGTGTCACTTCAATTATATGGAACTGATTGCGAGATTTTGGGAAAAAATGAAGAAACTATAGCATTTTTTCGATCTCGTGGTGCTCTCCCGACCTCAGTAAAGTGTCCTGAGTGCAAGAACGAATGTAAATATCGTCAAGACCAACATATGTGGCGTTGTGGTAACTCCAACGACGAACGAGAACCAGGCCAATAGGGTAAGAAATAAGTGATTCCATCATATGGTAAGAGTCAGTTAGGTCAGGTTTACTTTGTTTTTCTAGTGTTTTTTTTTGTGTTTTGTATTCGCTTAGCCATTATTTAATTTCGGAAAATGCCCCACAAAAAAAATATCGATAAAAAAACGGCCAATTTCTGACGGAAATTAAGGTCATAATCGGCCTAAACACATAAATGCACTAGAAAAATATATTTTTTTACTTTCTAACAGAGTTGGGTGCACTTATGCAAATTTACCGAAAAAATGGCACAGAAAAAATGGCATAATTTTTATACTAGGAGAAAATGGCACAACAAATTTCACTTCGAGCTCACGAACCACAAACGAGCTAATGAGCTACGGCATGCATAGGTTAGGTTAAGTTAGGTTAGGTTAGATTAGGTTAGATTAGATTATGTTAGGTTAGGTTATAAAATTTTAGCAAAAACGTGTCAATAAAAATTAATGTGCCATTTTTTCCTAGTTTATGATTATGCCTTCTTTTCCAGTGCCATATTTTCCTATTGCCATTTTTTCCTGTGCCATTTTCTCCTGTGCCATTTTCTCCTGTGCCATTTTCTCCTGTGCCATTTTTTCCTACATTCCTGGAGACATCAGTTGTTGGCAGATGAAACTCTAGCCACCGAAAAGCAACCGCTACAAGTGTCTGTGATAACACCTTTATACTACTTAATGATCTGGAAAATAATGTTTCTTATAATGAGGCCTGGATAAATATTCGTCCATTGGCTGTCCTCTGGGTTTTGGTTCGAGAATAGTTTGTTGTGTGTTTACTCAAATCTGACCTTCATTTCTTGTGCAAATTAGCGGTTTATGCAAAAAGAAAAATAATAATAAAATAAATTTTTAACAGAATCTGCTAATTTGCACAAAAATGGGGGTCAGATTTAAGTAAAACACACCCAATAAAACCTATTCTCATACCAAAGGAACCAACCTAACCTAACCAAACCTACAAGGAGGAGGAGGAGACCAGTGACTAGGTGAGGAGTATAGCCTCAGGAAAGCATGGCAGGAACTTGCAGATAGCCAATTGACAAATATTAACTGAGGCCTATATGTAGTCATTTGTTGTGTTGTATTATGTATCAAATGTATAAGTATGATAATAATTTACTTGTCTGACAGAGGACTCAGCATACCAAGATGAGGTGGAGTGTGGTGGTGAACAGTTGGAGGAGTTTCAAGTGGAACAACTCAACAATGGGAAATACCAGACTTCCTTCCCTGTAGCAAAGTAAAGTATTAATACTGTACTGTTAGTTCATTGACGACTAACCCGCAGACGCGTTATTTGCTTTGATGTTTATATTCTTAATATATTTGCATCAGTGAGTCCTGATAAAATATTATTTTTTTTTTTAATTGCTTCATTTGGTAGATAATTAGGCAACTAGGCACGTACTACTTTGTCTTTCTCGGCGGTAATGCAGCGGTACACAGCCAATCATGTCCAATCGATGCCAGCTGCCACAAAAAACGTAAAATTACACCATTTCATCGTAAGTTCTTTCTGGTTAATATGCCAAGGGGTCCGGTGGGTGGAGCCTCATGGCTAGGAAGTTAGGTACCATAGGCTTCTTTGGTTAGATTGGTGACGTCATCTAACAACATTTCTGCCGCATGTTTTTCTTATCGACTTAGGTTGGGTTAGGTTTAATTTAATTTTGAAATAACCACTTTTTAACATATTTGCCAAAACTACCAGTGTCCACTATAAAACACAGTGAAATTGTAGCATTTTAGAATTTGTCTAAAAAAAATTTGGCAGCGGGTCAGTCATCAATAAGTACCAGAAAGCACATACTGTACACTTGAGCTACCCTTTACATTTCTTTTTTTTTGGGGGGGGGGCACCCCCGTACATCCTGTGTAAGGTGAAGCGCAGAAGCGTTTACAGCGCCCAACAGGGAAGCATGCTAAGTTCATGCTTACCTTTATGTCTCATGAGTTACGGGCGTAGAAGCCTAAAGGGTCAAGGGCGTAGAAGCCGGAAGAGTCAAACCTTTTTGTCATCAAGTTATTGGAAGCTCCAACAACTTTCCCTGAATACGAATTCGCAGCTTTCGATTTACACCAGGTACCTACTTTACTGCTCGGTGAATAGGGACCAATTGGGGCTAGGAAGTATGTCCAAACAACTTTTCCACCGGCCCGGGAATCGAACCCGTGACATCTCGCTTGCGAGGCAAGAGCAGTACCGCTTCTACCACCTGCGCCCCCACCTTTTACATTGTTTTATTGCTTTTGTTCTGTCTTTGACCAGTACAAGGATTGTGTAAAACAAATAACTCAGCTTATTTCATGTAAAGATTAACCTCCCTAACATTATTTGAAGGGATGATGTTAGGATAAGTTAGATTAGGTTTGGTTAGCAACTTAGCATTAGGGTGTTTAAGCTTCAGGTGAAATAAGTCGTGGTGGATGTACATACTTTAGGTGACCCGTTATTGTTTTTTTCCAGCACGTACATCTCCTATGTTATTGGGGCCAAGGGAGCCACCAAGAAGAGGATAGAAAATGAAACTTATACAACATTACGATTTCCAGGAAAAGGCCAGTCAGGAGATGTTGGTAAGATATGTAGCAATGTGTTGATTAGGTTTGGTTAGGTGTTATCAGGGATGTAGCGCCCAAGTTTGTTAAGTTAGGTTAGATGTCAAGAGGGGTGTGGTGGCCAAGTGGACACAACATTTGTTTTCTCTCCTAAGAGTCATAGTTTGATTCTGATGATGCTCTTACAACCCACTCAGATGTAAATTGGTAGTTAATTTTACAGTTTGGAAAAATTAAGGCAGTCATGTGCAGTGCTGGCCACATTCCCTCCTTCCATACCTAAGATTTACTATACAGTACAGTATAGTGTTGTATCCTTACTCAGCCAAAAACCACAAATACAGTACTGTAGTCATTTAATAATCAGTATGTTCCTTTTGCATTATATTAATATCAAAATTTTTGCCATCAGTTAGAGCTGTAACTGTCATTTATATCAGAACTGAAGAATTAATATCATAAGCATTTAAAGTTTCTAAATGTTACTTGTATGAAGTCATATTCTTACAATAAGTTATAACCGTGATATTCATCTTGCATCCAAATGCTACCATAATAATCATCTCATTCACATTTTAAAATTCTTTCAGTTGTTATTGGTAAGGACGTGAGGACTGTCCGTCAAGCTCGCCTCAAGATACAGATGTTAGTGGAGCAGGCACGGAAAAAACAACCATTCACCCACTTTCTCTCTATCCCCTACAATAATCCTGCAATACAAACAAAGTTCTTAGAGTTCAAGGTTTGTAAATACCCAGGTATTGTATCTTACTAATGGGTTGGGAAACTGATGGCCTATATATGGTACCCATGAGAGATGACCACCAACAACGACCCTCGGCACAGTGTCAGGAAACATTGTGACCTTCGGTGTGTACAATAGCTATACAGGTAATGCCACCAAAACTGGATTTGAATCATGCTTCAGCTGTTGTTTCAAGGACCATTGAGAGCCAGCTCAGGAGTCATTTGGAATCGGGCTCACTCACTACACACCACAACTTGGCCACTGGAGACTTTGAACCCCAGTATATTCTGTAGTTCCTTGCCAGGAGCCAGACTGTATAGGCATTCTTCCTTTACTCCAGAAGACTAGAGCAAAGTTCTGAACCTGCAAAATTGGGAGTTGGGGTTCAATGAGCCATTGTTAAGTTGGGATTCATAATGAGTAAACCTTAGTATCTAACAACTTCTGCGCTGGTGTTTCACTGTTCTTAAAACAACAGCTGAATCTGGCTTCAGTCTGTAATTGGCAATTGTTTCACCAAGGCTTAATCTGTAACAAATCTTAGTTTATATGAATACCTTATGTACCTGATACAGACCACAGCACTAACAAACTGTCTAGGATGGTTCTGTATTTCTCATGACCACTTATTCATCTCCTTGGTGGAAAAAATGGGATTTTTTAACTTAATACCTAATTTTTTGCCATATTGTTAATGTTTATGGTATTCTTATTATCCTTTTATTATGGTGATTAATTTTCTTGGACCAATAGAGGTACTCAGTGTACAGTACTGGACTTCTTTGGGAAGTACTGTACAAGCAATCTTAGATCTGTAATTTTAGTTTTAAGTTTTTACATGCACAGTACAGTATAGTACTCATTAGTCCTAAGTGAAGTAGCAATACAAATACAGATTCGAAATTCTGTTGCAAAATAATCTTATACCTTTACTATATCCACTAATATAATGCATTCCATGGCAACTCATCCACTTCCATGGTTACTGTAGTCCACGGTGTGTGGAACATTTAATATAACATACAGTTTAACTTATCTAGATATACTGACATTCTCCAGTCATATTGAAACAAAGTAATTCAATATTGTCAATGAAATAGCTAATTTCGGCCTTCCAAATTAAGTACGAAATGTCTCACATTCAGGCCTACCGACCCTCGCGAGACAACGGGAATGTTCAGATGGAAAATCATCAGACCCCGCCTGTACGGTAGTTTTTTACTAAGTGTACATCAACCTTATACACTACACTACATTACACTACACTACACTACACTACATAGAATGCCAAGCTCTTTAATGAATCAGAATTTTAAATAAAATATTAGTCATGATCTGTGTTTGTAGTCCATCAGGAGCTACACCAATCAGTTGTTGTTTAAGGAATAGTAACTCTACCTAATGACCAGGAGGAAGTCTTTGGTGTAAATAAATTTTTCTTAACTATCATAAGTATCAACATTAAAATATATTAGTCTTAATTGTTATTAACCACTTGTGTGCAATACTGGATCCCTTTTGTGCTCAATAAAATCGTTTGGCAATATACCAAGTAAAGTATTAAAAGTGGCGTTGCTATAGTGTCCTGGTTAAGGTGATAATTAGTGAAATGAAACGCAGAAATAAATAATTAAATTTGACATTACAGTAGTTTTTATTTTGTGTTCTTATAGAAAGAAGTGTTAGAGAAGTGTGGAGACTGTCGGGGAGTGGATGAGGCAATATTCCAGTATCCTGGCAAGCTGCACCAGACTCTGTGTGTGATGGTGTTGGCTGATGACAGGGAACGCCAACAAGGTCTCGACGCTCTCAACAAGTGTCCAGATAATGTTCTAAAGTTAGTTCAACTGAAGGAGGGTAAAAACTTCCTCTTATGGAAAAATGGCAAAAAGTAGAGAATGAATTTTAGTATGTAGTGAGTTACTATATTCTAGTCAGAAATTAGCTATCACTCACTGTATTAACTGATTAATTCACTCCTTTTTGGTCACTGATCCAGCTCACAATATAAAGCAATTATCAGGTGTAGCATTATAAGCAAGTAAATTATTCATTTGTTGAAGAAAGACTGTGAGTCATCTTACAAACAGCAATACAGTACTCGTCGCTGAAAGACTAATAATCTCCCATTATGTTTCTGCACTAATATTTCCCTTCTATTTTGTCCATAGTCTTTATATACTCTGCTTATACAGGGCCATTTCATTATTCGATAACCCTAATTTATTACTACAGTATATTTTAGGAGGTGCAATAAACAGGAACCTAAAATGAAGGTTTGGTCATCTGATTCTGGCTAACATAAATGTTCTTCACAAAGGGTCAAGCTTTATTCTTATTGATTTTTAGGTTCTTGTTTATTGAACCTCCTAAAATATATAGCAGCTTATCATTTAATTTTTTCCAATATAAAGTGACCTTGTGTAAGGTGAAAATGATGACAGTGATTAGTTTTAGGCTTCCATTTTCAGTAGTCCAGTTCAGATGCTTTATGAGAAATAAGAATACACTGTACAGACAAAGATTTAGGTATACAGTATACTGGATTACAGGAACTGTACAGCAATTTAAAGTTTTCATGCTGCATGTTACAAACTAGAATGTGGCTCATTTATGAAATTACCAACATTTTTTGGAATTAATTTTTTTGTCATGTAACTCAGAGTACAAAAAGAGATATACTGTACAGTAAAAAAAAAAGGTATTGTCCATCCTGCCTTGTGTAACAATATGAAACATGCAAAAACTGTTAACATATACCTGAGGGTACCAGTGTCAGATGGTTTTTATCGCTCATTTTCTATTCCTCCGACCTTGGTGTGGTCGATACTAATTTTAACGATTGTACTATATCTTTGGTATTTTCTCGGAACTTGTGAATTTCTTAATCCTTGATACAGTTTGCTGCTACAGTTCGCTTCACTGATGTACAGGTACAGTCACTCAAAAAACTATCTACCTGTATACAAAATTATGTTGAAAAAATAGGACATAACGGATGAAAGATTTTGGCAGCCCTACCAAGACGACAGGAGTTGCAGTGATCATTCTGAAATTCATCGACCCTCACCAAGTACAGATAGTTTTTTGAGTGACTACATTAATTGTAGTGAAAGGGAAAAAAATACCACTAAACCAACAATAACAAGTGACAAAAGTATGTTGTTGGTGTGAGAAATATCATACAGGCTGTACCTCTCTAGTCCGGCAACCTCGGGACCTGACCAGTGCCGGAAAATGGAAATTTCCGAACCATGGAAATTCACCCTTTTCCTGGATAGATAGTGACTTGTGCTTACGCTTGGAAGCACTAGCACCACTTTCACTGCTCCGTGGTCTCTTTGAAGATACTATATTGAAGGGTTAAATGTTGTACAGTAGGTTCTCAAATTTTGGGTGTTTTTTAATTCGACATTTTTTATTTGGACACAAAAAAAAACCACTACGCAATTTAAAATTTTGACGGGTTTGAGCGGCCTGCCAACGTTCAGACGTGCATAATCGTGCAAACAGCGTCATTTCTCTTATGTACAAAAGATTCATTATTGTTTATTACTGAATGTCTTTTTGATTTAATTAATTTTTATGTGTGCAAAATGAACAATACAGTTCATTAATAATATGTATAATATTAAAACACACGAGGAAACGAGACGGGATTGCTTTCGTTAATTACAAAACCAGTGACTGACTGGATCTACATATAAAACTGAAGAAAATAAGACCCTGGTTGTAGCTGTTGTAAAATTAATGTAAAAAATTGATATGGTTGTTTTAAGTAATGTTATTTAATGTTAATAAATGGAACAGTATAAGTAGCTGACCATTAATGGTAAAGAAAAAAGTGAGCTCACGTATGTAAGTGTGCACATGTGAAAACATATCGTCATTACTCTACATAAGAATATGAAAGCAACACTTATTTACTGTTCATATATATTTTAATTAATGTTTCTGAATTTAAAACAAAAATTCTACCCACCAGTGGTGGTAAAGTTGAAAACATAAGGGCAGCCAATGTTGTTGTGTGTGTTTTTACTCGAATGACGTATGCTCAACTCTCGCTGAAGCTGTAGAACATAAGAACTTTTCTGTGTTGTTTTTAGTTTATATTTAATTTTATGTGTTATTTTCATTGGTTTATTAGGATGTTGCTTTATTACAGGTACAGTGACCCCTCGGTTAACAAACTCAATCCGTTCCAGAAGGTCGTTCGTTAACCGAAAAGTTCGTTAACCGAAACCATTGTTTCAATGGGTTTTTGGGTAATTGGTTCCAGCTCACCGAAAATTTCCTAAATTCAACAAAAATGGTAGAAAAGTTCACTTACTTTGAGGTGTGTATGTAGAAGGCTCCTGGATGATGATGATGATGATGGGAATGAGAATGGGGGTGGAGGAGAAGGAAGAAGAGAAGGCATTGGGGTGGAAGAGAAGTTTCCCCATGGCACCATTTCACCCATAAAATTTTAGTTCTCTTCGTGTATTTCAAAATTATTTTCTTTAAATCAACACTGCACTGCATTATATATTGTCAATATGTAAAATATATTTCAAAATGACCAATAATTTGCTTGGAAACACAGAAAAAAGGCGTTTAGTTGAAGAGAGTCTCAAGCAAGATGTTACCTCCAGTGAAAACAGAGAGAGACTAACTCCTGTTTGCTGTGTTAAGAGGCTGGATGCCGCTCATTAAACTAGTCACTTTACTTTCAATTATGTTCAATAATTGTTAAAATGACTAAAAAATTGAATATTAAACTTTTAAAATTATTGAATAGAATAAACTTCTTGATATTTACTAAAATAGTAAGGAATTTAAGCCCTAGAACCGATTAATGTATTGGCGGACTGATACTAAAGCTGGTTGCCCGGCCAGTGCAAGCGAAAACATGTTGAGGTCGGTTCGTAAGAAATTCGTTAACCGAATTTTTGTTCGTTAACCGAATTGAAGATCCTTATGGAAGGCAGTTCGTTAACCGAATTGAAGATCCTTATGGAAGGCAGTTCGTTAACCGAATTGAAGATCCTTATGGAAGGCAGTTCGTTAACCGAAATTTCGTTAACCGAGGCGTTCGTTAAACGAGGGGTCACTGTAGTAATTCGCCAAAATAGTAGGGTAAATAACGCAAAATTTAGCCAAACATCGAAAGTACCAGACTCAAATTCATTTTCTCCATGGGCAAACTAAAATCGTTCCGGACCACGGGAGTTTCCGGACCACAGAATGGCGGACTAGAGAGGTACAACCTGTATTATATGATGGTGGTAAAGTACAATACAGTTAAACCTTCATATAACTGATTTCTCACTCCATATAATCTGTGAGAGGCTTACACATCTAACTGACCCTCAATATAATGAACTTTCATCTTCATATAGTCCATTAGATAAAGACTTTGCTGTATAAATAATTTGATGAAGTAATACAGTACTGTACTTATGTACAATTTTCATTTCAGAAGCTAGATTTTGTTAGAGTATTGCCTTCACTAATGATGGTAAAGTTTATTAGTTCAGGGATGATTCTGGTATGATACAGTGCAGCAAAATTTAGACCTGCTGTCACCATTTATACTTTGAAGAATTTTTATGATTAATGAAAAGTTGTGAAACAATCTAAGGTCCTTATAGTGAAGACAGGTCATACTGCGGGGTTAAAGGTCAAAGTGGTCATTATCTTGTGTTCAAGGAGCATTCATTGGTTTCACTCATTTTCATGTTTAGATTTTGGTCTTCATTTTATGAGCTATAATTTTATACTGTACTGTATTGTCTTTTCTAAAATCTTTATTTTAGTTTTGTCTTCATGTCAGAAATTAGAACTTACCATTGTGTTTACTTCAGGAAATACTTGGCTGGAGAAAAACTTCGTGTTGAGATGAGAGGCATCGAGTACATGAATGACAACCCCGGGGAGGTTGATGTTCTGTACGGCCGCATCAATGCCCTCAGCTGGTCCCACTCACTCCAGACTATTGCTGATTCTCTTGTCGATGAACTTGTCAAAGCTGGTAATTATATTTCTTTACTAAAATATCCTTTCTCCTTACCTGTTCAAACTGTGTGAATTTTACAAACTTTCTCAGAGTTTAACCTAACCTAACCTACCAGCCACTGTACTGTATTGTAATGTTTCACCAGCATACATCAGTATCAGTCTTACTATTGGTAATAATAGACAATAGTTTTCCTTTTATTGTTCTCTTTAAAGCTCCAACAAGTTAACTTTTATGTATAAAATATGGATTTATGTCTTTGTCTCCTCATTAAGAGTCAGATGACTACAATAGAATACTGTACTTTATAGTACACATACTGAACTGTACTGTATAGTACATGTACTGTACTGTACTGTGTAGTACATGTACGAACTGTACTTTTATCCCCCAATTTTCTTAAATTTGTTTTATGGAAATTCACTGCAATTGAAATGGGTAATTTATGAAGAAAAAAAATTAACAGAAAGCAAAGCTCACTACTGTGTTACGTAAATATTGGAAAAAAAAATTTAATATATTTTAGAAGAAAATAAAATATACAGTACACTAGAATCCTGGTTATCTGGAATCCATGCAACCGGTATATCCAACTAGCTGGCACCAAAATGAAATATAGGTGTATCCCGAAAACCGATCCCATTAACCACTCCTTTGCATAACCGATGATTACATATAGGGGAAATACCCTGCAAGTTTCATATATAGCCCGGAGATCCGGCGATATAGAGAGGAGTGGCAGAGCTGTTTAGAATTTGGCGGGCAGTGATGTGATGTGAATTCTTGCCACGAGAGAGCTCTGCACATTGCCTCTGACTCATTCCCACCTCTCTACACTTGTTTACACTTACCATGTGTCTCGACTTAGTGTTTTTTCGTTATTTCTGGCTTAGTGTGTTACTCAATCATGCCTAAATGCCCAAGTGATAGTTCCCTTTGTGCTGGGCAGCTTGATGTGATGTAATAAGAGTGATGATGGACCAGCATAAAGTTGTAGAGACTTGAACTTGCCACTCAAGACTGCCTCTTCCATCATCAACACATGCAAGTAACAGTCTCAATTTTGTTTTACATTGCTTGTTTAAGGATTATTATGCATGCTTTATATGTCTATTTTATTTTGTTGCTTGACAGTGTAAACAACAAAAACAACAAAGCTATATCATGGGTAGATGGGAATTTTTTGGAGGGTGGCCATTCCCTAACCCCCTGAATGTGTTATGTTCTTATGGGATTTATATGCGTCGTTATCGGGGTGCACCTTTAATGATAATAAAAATAAAAATTCCTCCGAAATCAGTTAGAACTGTAACTTTGAATATATCATGCAACAGTGATCAGCTGCCATTTTTATTGAAATGATTTTTCCACATTTGAAGTTGCATTTCATGTAACAATGGCAACAAGCATTGCTATCTCACAGTTGACTGGCTGTGTGTGTGTTATGGAGATTTCTACAGCATTGTTACTCACACACACACACCTCTCTCTTCCACTGGTTTAGTTGTTGCATTATCATCTTTGCATATGATCAGGATAGTGTTGAAGTTTGTTGTTGTGTTATTACAGGGGTATGTGTGTTTGTTACATGGTAGAGTCAAGATTTTGATGTGTAGGAACCTGTCTCCACTTATATAATGGGAGTACAGTACAGTACGTATTGGGGAAAATTGGGTTCAATATACAGAAATTTGATTTACGGCAAGATTTTGTGGAACCTAACCCTTCCATATACAGTATTGAGGGATGAGAGTCTATAATTTTTTTTTTTTTTTACTGCTTTGTAGAAAGTGGATGCCATCATTTACTGTGCTGTAAATAATAAACATGTATGATTTACAGGGGTGGTGAACAGGCAGCACGAAAGAGTGAAATTACACATAACACTGATGAACACGGCATTCCGTCAAGATCCCGATGGTGTGACGGACATCAAAGTTGGCAAAGATCGAGAGTCCTTTAATGCACGACAGATCATAGAGGTCAGTGTATCTATTGTCATAGACTGTGGTCCTAGAGTAAGCACACGTGGGCTAAAACAACACTTAGAGTTTTGTTCAAATAAAAACCTGAGCACACTGGAAACACACATATGCAAATTTCACTTTAAATTTAACTTGACTTTTCTATGTATATCAATGTTTCTATGCTTGAATATATTTGTTTATCTCTGTATATTTCTCTTTTTCGATCTCTTGTCAATTTACTTTTTGGATCACCTGAAGAATCTCCACCTCAGGTGTACTGGTGACAAATTGCTCTAAATTATAGCCAATTGTATTATAAGCAGAAAGGGCTTGCAAGACTTAAGAACTTTCCTAAACAAAACACTGTTGTATAATGAATATGTTCTTCCACTCTTTTGGAACACACACACACACACACACACACACACACACACACACAGACAGACAGACTGGCCCATATTCCCTCTATTATGAATATACAGTATACAGTACAATATATTTCATGTATCTGTTTATGTTGCCAGCTTCTAAGTAGAGTAAGTTTGTTGTACAATATTATTTTAATTTTTATTTTAGGAGTTCGGAGATTATTACTTTGGAGAGATGGAAGTGGATGAAATTCACTTATCTGTCCGCCACACAACGGCCAACAGTGGCTTCTACTCCGCCTCGGGCAAGATTCCCATCCTACCTCACCCAGCCTAATAGTCACTACATTATAATATATTGTCCTTGTTTTTGTATATGAATAATAAGTAATAGGCCAAGTTCCTCATCATTTCAATTTTTGATAATCAGTAAGTAAGCTTATGTATTGTACAACCCACTCCAAAAAGAATCTTTATGGCGCTGTCTGATGAATTTAAAGCAGAACGGTGCGACTTCTGTTCTCTCTGTAGGGTTGTCCAAATCCTGCATCCATTGTGTCTATTTAACCCTTAGGCCCCAAGTGACGTTCCAGAATTTCCCCCTATTTTCCCGCCGTTTTTTTTGGGGGCAAAGTTGATTTTTTCTCTCGATTTATCCCCGCTGTAGGGGGGGGGGGTTGCTGCCAGCAGCACCCTAACCACCGGGGCTTAAGGGGTAATGTTTAACACAAAATCATAAAGATACTCTTTTGGGGTGTGTGTCCATTAGCTGTTTTCTCTCATTATCGTAAACTACACACACTGGTATCTCCATACAGGAGCAAATACAGGTTGTACCTCTTTAGTCCGGCAACCTCGGGACCTGACCGGTGCCGGACCATGGAAATTGCCGGACCATGGAAATTCACCCTCTTCCTGGATAGATAGTGACTTGTGCTTATGCCTGGAAGCACTAGCACCACTTTCTCTGCATCATGGTCTCTTTGAAGACATATTGAAGGGTTAAAAGTCGTATAGTAGCTTCTCAAATTTCGCGAGTTTTTAATTCTTAACGTATTTTATTGGAACACACAAAAAAATTAATAAATAAACATTTTGACGGCGGAAACTTGAATTTCGACGGGTTTGAACGGCCCGCCAATGTGCAGACGACGTGCATAATCGTGTAAACAGCGTCATTTCTCTTATGTACAAAAGATTCATTATTGTTTATTACTGAATGTCTTTTTTATTGAATTAATGTTTATGTGTGCAAAATGAGCAATACAATTCATTAATAATACAATACGTAGAATATTAAAACACGAGGAAATGAGACGGCATTGTTTTCGTTGATTACAAAACCAGTGACTGACTGGTTCTACATATAAAACTGAAGAAAATAAGACCTTGCTTGTAGCTGTAGTAAAATTTATATGGTTGTTTTAAGTAATGTTATTTAATGTTAATAAATGGAACAATAGAAGTAGCTAACGATAATGGTAAAGAAAAAAGAGAGATCGCGTATGTAAGTGCGCATGCGCACACATGAAAACATATCGTCATTACTTTACATAAGAATATGAAAGCAACACTTATTTATTGTTCATATATATTTTAATTAATGTTTCTGAATTTGTTTTATTGAATTAATGTATGTGTGTGCAAAATTAACAATACAATTTATTAATAATACGTGGAATATTAGAGGAGCCGAGACGGCTGCCGGCATTGTTTATGTTAAAGCTTACGAAACCAGTGACTGATTGGTTCTACATATAAAACTGAAGAAAATAAGACCCTGATTTTAGCTGTAGTAAAATTAATGTAAAAAAATTAATATGGTTGTTTGAAGTACCTGTAATGTTATTTAATGTTTATAAATGGAACAATATGAGTAGCTAACCATTAATGGTAAAAGAAAAGTGAGACTGCGTGTATGTAAGTGCGCACATGTGAAAACATATCGTCATTACTCAACATAAGAATATGAAAGCAACATTTATTTACTGCTCATATATATTGAAGGGTTAAATGTTGTACTCTGTATAGACAAGCAGAGAGAGAGAGAGAGCAGCCGAACTGCTGGATGTAAACAAACCTTGATTTCCCGCGGCTTTGTTTTTTTGTTTTTTTTTAAGGGAATTAGCCTACCCGGGCATAGGTCGCTGACCCACATTTGGGCCTGAGGGGCAAAAATTTAATACTCCTGTAATAATCATTCAGATAAGTAAAAAAAAAAAAAAAATGCTGCCTATCTACCTATTGGACAAACTAAAATCGTTTCGGACCACAGAATGCCGGACTAGAGAGGTACAACCTGTACTATGTAGTACAGTATTCCATAAAGAGTTTGATTGTTTTATTATGAAGATAAAACGTGATACTGTAGCCAATTATCATCTTGGTTTGACCGAGTGTGTTGCTAGTACAGTACACAGAAGTAAATTACTAAATATAGATTGATTTTATGAGTTTGTACTGTATAATGCTCTTTGACAAATACATAAATAATTAGTGTACTGTACTTTTCTTAATATTTAAGGTAATGGCATAAATTTACAATAAAAATATTTTAGCAATGTTATTTTCTACATTATGCCTCATGAGTATTTTTTATCTCTATATAATACAGGTACTGTATATATTTTGGCCTGTAGATATATTTTGGTTAAATACAGTATAAACACAGTTGCTGGCAGTCAAACTTCAGTAAATCAGAATTATGACTTTAGTTTAACCCCTTCACTATGGGGAAGCCACTTTTAAAATTTTATTTGTCTAATGCCAGATGATTTTATTCAGCAGAAAGGGGACCTTGTACACAAGGAGTTAAAAGTATTTAGTTGGGAGAATTATTATACTAGTCTGATGGCCAGTAAGGATACAGCAGTACAGTACAGTATAGTGTGCATTTACGCGGTCAATTGAACCCGCGGAGGTCTGCATAAAACGAGAAACGCGTAAACGAAATAACAGAACATAAGGGATTAATTGAAATAGAGGCTGGGCCGACTCCCAAACTCCACTTTTTCCGACACAATACGTACCTTGTAGTAAAAATAACATCATAATTTTATAATGGTATTGACACACATAATATCTTTATAAAAAACTACAAATCTAAAGGTGTTTAACACTTACGTTAGTAGAAGATATGGGTCGGCACACATGGATGGCGGCTGGTTCCGAGGCAGAATGCAGATTAGTGGCCCTCCGGTGAATCACTATCACTACTCACAGAGGTTTGCAGGGCCTCCCTGACAAACCTCTCAAAGTCCATATCCTCACTGTCACTATCACTGACTTGGGCTGGCTGTGGTTGTGGTGGGTTGCGGGCAAGACTAGCATTGATGTTGTCGTGATACATCTAGGCATACGGCTCCATAGTTTTCGACAGAATGTTATTAGACACTTCATACCGATGCTTGACTGTGTCTTTGTCAAGGATGAGCTTAATTTTCTCCCCAACTCGATGATTTCCTTCACATAACCATGGCTTGGTCCAGGTAGCTCAAGGTTTCTCAGGGGTGGTGGGGGTCCAGCGGTAGCCATTTTGAGGGGAATAGCGGTAGCCATTGTGAGGGGAATAGCGGGCACAAGAGAGAACTGTATACGCCAAGACTGAAACAATGAGACTGGCCTGGCTAGGTCAGCGACTTCTTCCCTCTGGTGGCAAGGCACGTCATGTTACATTAGACCAATCACAGCTAGCGGTGGAGGGATTGCGTGGGTGGTAAGGATGCGTGGCCCAATCACAGTCCGATACGTCATATGACGTCAGCGATAACGGAAGAGCGACCTAATGCGCACCCTGCCCATGCCGCTTCCCACGTAAATGATGGCATGAACCGCGTAACGTAAAATTTTCATTCTGACAAGGTGTCGCATAAATGACCAAACGCGTAAACAAAATCCGCGTAAATCGAGACTATACTGTACAGTAAAATGTCCTTCAACCAAAAATCTACTTTACAAAATAATTTATTCAACAAAAGATTTGACCATTCTGAATAAAAAAATTAAAATAGAGATTACAGTAATTATCTTTTCATTAAATTTCCACAGATGACATGAAAATAATTGAGGAGAAATTAGACAATCGAGCCACTGGCTGAATGACTGTAGTTGATGGTGTGATCGGCGAGTACTTCACGTGAGTTTGAGGAGAATGTTGTAGGAGAACAATAACACACTGAGAACATATTTATAGACTTATAACATTGAGAGTATTAGAGAGTAATGAAGTTGATTAATGTACAGTAGAGGTAGTCACAGAAACTAATAATTCTGGACTGTATACTGTAACTAAACTGACACAAATACTGCGGTATATTACCTGTCGTCCTTGGACACGTGGTGATGATAGTTTACACTTTACGTAATTAACTATTTTATGGAAGCTTTTTGTTCCCAAACTTTTGCTGACATATACTGTACTCTTGTTATTTTATGTAATAACTTTCTGGAGTACAGTATTTGAGTATTTTATACTTAAAAGTACTTAAATTTTTTGCACTTTTACAAGTTGTCTCATTACATTTGAAAGTACGTACAGCCTTGTTCAAGATTCTTCAAACACTGCTGGCAACTCCAGGCCATTTGTTTACTATAGTACGTACTGTAATATAATACAAAACAACAAAGCCCAACCATTAATTAAGCAACAGAGAACTAAGTATCCATTCACCAATAACCTTTTACATCCGTTCATAATTTTTTCTACGTACTTTAGTTAACAAGCGTCCTTGAGTTGCCAGGTGTCTCCAGCAGTGTTCAAAGATATGTGAAATGGTTGCAGCCAATCACAATAATGCAGCACTTTCCTGCCCGCCAATTCATTGTGACTGTGTTGGCAACACTAACCAGTTTGTGACTGTTGGCGACACTGACCAGTTTATACAAGTTCTTCCTCTAACATACTATACCATAAACATTGTGACTGTTGGTGACACTGACCAGTTTATACAAGTTCTTCCTCTACCATACTGTACCATAAACATTGTGACTGTTGGCGACACTGACCAGTTTATACAAGTTCTTCCTCTATCATACTGTACCATAAACATTGTGACTGTTGGCGACACTGACCAGTTTATACAAGTTCTTCCTCTATAATACTGTACCATAAACATTGTGACTGTTGGCGACACTGACCAGTTTATACAAGTTCTTCCTCTATCATACTGCACCATAAACATTGTGACTGTTGGCGACACTGACCAGTTTATACAAGTTCTTTCTATCATACTGTACCATAAACATTGTGACTGTTGGCGACACTGACCAGTTTATACAAGTTCTTCCTCTATCATACTGTACCATAAACATTGTGACTGTTGGTGACACTGACCAGTTTATACAAGTTCTTCCTCTATCATACTGTACCATAAACATTGTGACTGTTGGTGACACTGACCAGTTTATACAAGTTCTTCCTCTACCATACTGTACCATAAACATTGTGACTGTTGGCGACACTGACCAGTTTATACAAGTTCTTCCTCTATCATACTGTACCATAAACATTGTGACTGTTGGCGACACTGACCAGTTTATACAAGTTCTTCCTCTATCATACTGTACCATAAACATTGTGACTGTTGGCGACACTGACCTGTTTATACAAGTTCTTCCTCTATCATAGTGCACCATAAACTTTGTGACTGTTGGCAACACTGACCAGTTTATACAAGTTCTTGCTCTATCATACTGCACCATAAACATTGTGACTGTTGGCAACACTGACCAGTTTATACAAGTTCTTCCTCTATCATACTGCACCATAAACATTGTGACTGTTGGCGACACTGACCAGTTTATACAAGTTCTTCCTCTATCATACTGCACCATAAACATTGTGACTGTTGGCGACACTGACCAGTTTATACAAGTTCTTCCTCTATCATACTGTACCATAAACATTGTGACTGTTGGCGACACTGACCAGTTTATACAAGTTCTTCCTCTATCATACTGTACCATAAACATTGTGACTGTTGGCGACACTGACCAGTTTATACAAGTTCTTCCTCTATCATACTGTACCATAAACATTGTGACTGTTGGCGACACTGACCAGTTTATACAAGTTCTTCCTCTAACTGTTCTGTTGGCGACACTCTAGTTCATACTGCACCATAAACATTGTGACTGTTGGCGACACTGACCAGTTTATACAAGTTCTTCCTCTATCATACTGTACCATAAACATTGTGACTGTTGGCGACACTGACCAGTTTATACAAGTTCTTCCTCTATCATACTGTACCATAAACATTGTGACTGTTGGCGACACTGACCAGTTTCTACAAGTTCTTCCTCTATCATACTGTACCATAAACATTGTGACTGTTGGCAACACTGACCAGTTTATACAAGTTCTTCCTCTATCATACTGTACCATAAACATTGTGACTGTTGGCAACACTGACCAGTTTATACAAGTTCTTCCTCTATCATACTGCACCATAAACATTGTGACTGTTGGCAACACTGACCAGTTTATACAAGTTCTTCCTCTATCATACTGCACCATAAACATTGTGACTGTTGGCGACACAACCAGTTTGTAAGTTCTTCCTCTATCATACTGTACTGTGATAGCGACACTGACCGGTTATACAGTTCTTCCTCTATCATACTGCACCATAAACATTGTGACTGTTGGCGACACTGACCAGTTTATACAAGTTCTTCCTCTATCGCAATGTACCATAAACATTGTGACTGTTGGCGACACTGACCAGTTTATACAAGTTCTTCCTCTATCATACTGCACCATAAACATTGTGACTGTTGGCGACACTGACCAGTTTATACAAGTTCTTCCTCTATCATACTGTACCATAAACATTGTGACTGTTGGCGACACTGACCAGTTTATACAAGTTCTTCCTCTATCATACTGTACCATAAACATTGTGACTGTTGGCGACACTGACCAGTTTATACAAGTTCTTCCTCTATCATACTGTACCATAAACATTGTGACTGTTGGCGACACTGACCAGTTTATACAAGTTCTTCCTCTATCATACTGTACCATAAACATTGTGACTGTTGGCGACACTGACCAGTTTATACAAGTTCTTCCTCTATCGTACTGTACCATAAACATTGTGACTGTTGGCAACACTGACCAGTTTATACAAGTTCTTCCTCTATCATACTGTACCATAAACATTGTGACTGTTGGCGACACTGACCAGTTTATACAAGTTCTTCCTCTATCATACTGTACCATAAACATTGTGACTGTTGGCAACACTGACCAGTTTATACAAGTTCTTCCTCTATCATACTGTACCATAAACATTGTGACTGCACCATAAACATTGTGACTGTTGGCAACACTGACCAGTTTATACAAGTTCTTCCTCTATCATACTGCACCATAAACATTGTGACTGTTGGCAACACTGACCAGTTTATACAAGTTCTTCCTCTATCATACTGTACCATAAACATTGTGACTGTTGGCAACACTGACCAGTTTATACAAGTTCTTCCTCTATAATACTGTACCATAAACATTGTGACTGTTGGCGACACTGACCAGTTTATACAAGTTCTTCCTCTATCATACTGTACCATAAACATTGTGACTGTTGGCGACACTGACCAGTTTATACAAGTTCTTCCTCTATCATACTGCACCATAAACATTGTGACTGTTGGCGACACTGACCAGTTTATACAAGTTCTTCCTCTATCATACTGTACCATAAACATTGTGACTGTTGGCAACACTGACCAGTTTATACAAGTTCTTCCTCTATCATACTGTACCATAAACATTGTGACTGTTGGCAACACTGACCAGTTTATACAAGTTCTTCCTCTATCATACTGTACCATAAACATTGTGACTGTTGGCGACACTGACCAGTTTATACAAGTTCTTCCTCTATCATACTGTACCATAAACATTGTGACTGTTGGCAACACTGACCAGTTTATACAAGTTCTTCCTCTATCATACTGTACCATAAACATTGTGACTGTTGGCAACACTGACCAGTTTATACAAGTTCTTCCTCTATCATACTGCACCATAAACATTGTGACTGTTGGCAACACTGACCAGTTTATACAAGTTCTTCCTCTATCATACTGTACCATAAACATTGTGACTGTTTACTGTACCATAAACATTGTGACTGTTGGCGACACTGACCAGTTTATACAAGTTCTTCCTCTATCATACTGTACCATAAACATTGTGACTGTTGGCGACACTGACCAGTTTATACAAGTTCTTCCTCTATCATACTGTACCATAAACATTGTGACTGTTGGCGACACTGACCAGTTTATACAAGTTCTTCCTCTATCATACTGTACCATAAACATTGTGACTGTTGGCAACACTGACCAGTTTATACAAGTTCTTCCTCTATCATACTGCACCATAATCATTGTGACTGTTGGCAACACTGACCAGTTTATACAAGTTCTTCCTCTATCATACTGTACCATAAACATTGTGACTGTTGGCGACACTGACCAGTTTATACAAGTTCTTCCTCTATCATACTGCACCATAAACATTGTGACTGTTGGCAACACTGACCAGTTTATACAAGTTCTTCCTCTATCATACTGCACCATAAACATTGTGACTGTTGGCAACACTGACCAGTTTATACAAGTTCTTCCTCTATCATACTGTACCATAAACATTGTGACTGTTGGCAACACTGACCAGTTTATACAAGTTCTTCCTCTATAATACTGTACCATAAACATTGTGACTGTTGGCGACACTGACCAGTTTATACAAGTTCTTCCTCTATCATACTGTACCATAAACTGTGACCATAAACATTGTGACTGTTGGCGACACTGACCAGTTTATACAAGTTCTTCCTCTATCATACTGCACCATAAACATTGTGACTGTTGGCGACACTGACCAGTTTATACAAGTTCTTCCTCTATCATACTGTACCATAAACATTGTGACTGTTGGCAACACTGACCAGTTTATACAAGTTCTTCCTCTATCATACTGTACCATAAACATTGTGACTGTTGGCAACACTGACCAGTTTATACAAGTTCTTCCTCTATCATACTGTACCATAAACTATCACTACCTGTACCATAAACATTGTGACTGTTGGCGACACTGACCAGTTTATACAAGTTCTTCCTCTATCATACTGTACCATAAACATTGTGACTGTTGGCAACTGACCAGTTTATACAAGTTCTTCCTCTATCATACTGTACCATAAACATTGTGACTGTGGCGACACTGACCAGTTTATAAGTTCTTCCTCTATCATACTGCACCATAAACAGACTGTTGGCAACACTGACCAGTTTATAAGTTCTTCCTCTATCATACTGTACCATAAACATTGTGACTGTTGGCGACACTGACCAGTTTATACAAGTTCTTCCTCTATCATACTGTACCATAAACATTGTGACTGTTGGCGACACTGACCAGTTTATACAAGTTCTTCCTCTATCATACTGTACCATAAACATTGTGACTGTTGGCGACACTGACCAGTTTATACAAGTTCTTCCTCTATCATACTGTACCATAAACATTGTGACTGTTGGCAACACTGACCAGTTTATACAAGTTCTTCCTCTATCATACTGTACCATAAACATTGTGACTGTTGGCGACACTGACCAGTTTATACAAGTTCTTCCTCTATCATACTGCACCATAAACATTGTGACTGTTGGCGACACTGACCAGTTTATACAAGTTCTTCCTCTATCATACTGCACCATAAACATTTGTGTTTCTTGTTCTCTCTCTCTCTCTCATTCACCTCACATACAGTAATTCTCTTTAAACAATCATCCCCAGGACATCAAACTTGCCTACTGGAAAATAGAAAAAGAAAGACAAATTATTATTACTATTTACTGTATCTACTTTTGCTTAACTATAATGACTCTCAGGTTATTTACTTTGATATATTTCTTGAATAATAAATGTTTTGGGTTTTATATTGATAGATAGATACAGTGGGTAGATAGATAGACACAGTGGGTAGATGGATAGACACAGTGGGTAGATGGATAGACACAGTGGGTAGATAGATAGACACAGTAGGTAGATAGATAGACACACAGTGGGTAGATAGATAAACACAGTAGGTAGATAGATAGACACAGTGGGTAGATAGATAGACACAGTAGGTAGATAGATAGACACACAGTGGGTAGATAGATAGACACAGTGGGTAGATAGATAGACACAGTGGGTAGATAGATAGACACAGTAGGTAGGTAGATAGACACAGTGGGTAGATAGATAGACACAGTGGGTAGATAGATAGACACAGTAGGTAGATAGATAGACACAGTGGGTAGATAGATAGACACAGTAGGTAGATAGATAGACCGATAGATAATTATATTATTCTTTCAGTACATAATAGATAAAAGAACAGTTAGTGGGGATTATTCTTCACTTTTCAGATGAACATTACAGTAAGAGGTTAAGAAAATACTAAATTAACTTCCTTTTATGTTTTATTACAGAAAAACAACATTATGTACTGTACATATTTTCCCAAAGACATTTATACTAATAGTTTAATATTAAGTATTAGAGAAATTAACAGACATAAGGGTGATGTGTGCTTAATAATATGACGGCTGTTTGGACTCAAAATAAAGAATGTTATACAGTACAGTATACCATTATAATTTGTTCATGAGTTAAGTAGTACAGTATTTAGGTTATACAGTAATTGTTATAATTAAAACAATGAAGAAATGGAACTACTGTACAATCTTTTTTATTTTGGGTATGTTATTCCTCAAGACAGTACAATAATGTACTGTACTGTGCAAATTATATAAATTTGTTTTGGGATAAATTAAGTTCAAAATATTATTGCTGCCCTTGGCCACTGAACATTTAATGACAAAAATAATTACAATATAGTGGCTTTAGTTTTTTAATTACACAAGACATCATAATCAGGTGACTTGCCATTGTGGTGTGCCGAGGTTATATCGGGCTGAAAATAGTGCGGACATGCACAGCTCATCAAAGCATCATTGAAAGCTTGAGGCATGCTGAGATTACCTCTTGGAGTGAAAGATTAAGTTAGGTTAAGTTTGGCTGGTTTGGATCGAACTGCTCATGCCCAGAACATTTTCAGCAATTAACATCTGTTGCTTACTATACAGTAATATGTTGTATGGGGTGAGCAATGCCTCTCTTCCCTTAATGAATTCTAATCGTCGTAAATCACCCAAAATCAACTGACAAATAAAAAAACTGCACAGGATGATTTTCACCCATAATCCATAAACTAAATAAGCTGATAATTGGTGTAATGATAATAAAAAATAAAGAAATTAACAAAGAAATGCACAATGTTTTTCACCGATTATCAACTAATAAACAAAAAAGTATGGAAGATGTATTCCTACCGAGTCCTTAAGAGATTAGGAAGGGGAATAAGTAGAATGGGAGAAATTTAACAGAATACATTAATGTTCATTCTTATGTTAAGAATACAGTATCCAAAAACAAACAGAGGAATTGTAATTTTTGTAATTTTATTTTCATAACTTTTTGTCCTGAACAGAAATCTGCCAGAGACACACTGTTTCTTGGGGAGGAAGGCCGGTAGACACCATGTTGGCTTTATATAATTATCGTAGCACTTGTTTCTTATCTTAAAAATCACTGGTTCAATCCCGGGGCACTGCCAGGCCACCCAACTGTATATGTCTACCAAACTTTACATTTATTTTGGGAAGGTGGAGGCTGTTGAATGTGGTGCTGGCCATACTTCCTGCTTGCTTGGTATAAAATGAGCTGTATCCACACTGACCCAAGTGGGTAGTTATGTACACCCACTAAAAAAATATTCGGCACCCTTACGGCGTGATACAATATGACACGGGTGCCGAATAATTTTTTAGTGGGTGTACATAGGTAAAAAAATTAAACCTTAGGATGAAAAGTAAATGCAAAAGAAATACTAAGAATTATTATGGCTGAAGGAAATGATGGAAAGGTGAGAGAGAGAGTAAACTATGAAATGGACATAATAATTTATGAAGAGAAAAATAACAAGAAAATGTAGAGAAAGAGAGAGTGGGAGATGATAGAAGGAGGATGGGTGAGAGAGGAGGGGTGATAGTGGGTGAGAAGGGGTGGGAGTGAGAGAGGAGGAGGGTTGGGGTGGAAGTATCGTTGCGAGAAACTTCAACTTGCTGGACCAAGGAGCTGCTATTTATAAGTCTTCGCAGCCATGGAAAAGTAATCAAGTTTTAAATTGAGTCTGTGTGGCGCCTCTAAGGGAAGACCTACAAGTGGTAAATCCTGGAGCCTCCCAGAGTGACTGAGAGATGCTGTGTCTCTCAGCCCTGCCCCTCCCCATCCCCCCCTTCCTCTGCCAGCAGGGGCAATGTTTCACTATAAACAAGAGCATGGTTCAGGGCCCCCTTCCTCTGCCGGCAGGGGCAGTGTTTCACTATAAACAAGAGCGAGGATCAGGGGTACACTCTATACAGTGATGTCGCGGGACGCCACTTGATGGCTTCTTATTCTTCTCCACTTGACGGAGAACTGTGTGTCTATATGTGTGGTGTGTGTTTGTACTGCATGTGTGTGTGTGTGTGTATGTGCGCATGTGTGTGTGTAGTGCAAATGAGTGACTATGTGTGTATGTGAGTGCGTGTGTGTACATAAGAACATAACTATGGAGAAAACTGCAGCGGGCCTATTGGCCCATACTGGGTAGTCCCGTTTACACCCAACCCCTGTCGCTCATATGTTCCATCCAACCTATGTTTGAAGCTATCCAGCATATTCGAGTTAATGATGATGTCTGGTAACTTGTTCCACTCCTCCACCATTCTATTTCCAATCCAATGTTTACCTATCTCACGCCTAAATTTGTCTAATTTAAAACCATTACTATGAGTTTGCTTCCGGTAGGATAGTATGAGTACCTGTGTTTAGCCCTGACTTCCATTTATACACATCTTTCATATCGCCCCTCGCTCTACGTCTCTCGAGGGAGTACAAATTAAGATGCTTTAACCTGTCTCCATACTCAAGGTTCCTAATGCCCTGGATTAGTCTTTTCATTCTCCTCTGAATTCTTTCTATGGATTCTATATTCATTCTGTAGTACGGTGACCAGAACGAAACTATGTAATCCAAGTTAGGTCTCACAAGTGCAAGATATAGTTTTAGGATGACCTCGCTAGTCTTGTAGCTAACACTCCTTTGTATGAACTCAAGTACTTTGTTAGCCTTGTTTCGAGCAAATACACATTGTTGACTTGTTTTAAGATTCCTACTTATCACTACTCCTAAATCTTTCTCAGTTGGATTTCTCTATAACAATGTTGTCCATCCGATATCTGGTTTCTCTGCTTGCATCTCCTAGACTAATTACTTTACATTTGTCTACATTAAATTTCATCTGCAATTTTTCAGACCATGCAATTTTTTTTTTAGATCTTTCTGTTGTTTTGCAGAGTCTTCATCAGATTTAATTACACGCCCTATTTTGGTGTCGTCAACAAATTTACTTATGATGCAGTCTACGCCCATATCTATGTCGTTTATGTATAGTATAATAAATAGTAATGGTCCAAGTATTGAGCCTTAGGATACTCTAACTAGTGACGTTACCCTAATCGGATTTACTGCCGTTAATGCTTGCTCACTGTTTCCTGTCCTGTAAATACGCCCTAATCCATTTTAAATTACCCTCCAATTCCACGAGCCTCCACTTTTGCATTAATCTTTCGTGTGGGACTCTGTGGAAGGCTTTGCTAAAGTCGAGGTATACCACATTATAATCGTGTCCGTCATCCACTGATTCGAAAACAGTTGAAAATAATGTTAATAGATTAATCAGACGCCCACTTGTGAAGCCATGTTGGGAATCATTGATCAACTTGTGCTTCTCAGAGTGGTTTTGATTAGAGTTTGAAATTATTGCTTCCAGCAATTTGCCTACAATTGATGCTAAACTGATTGGATGGTAGTTAGAGTATCTATCTCCCTTCTGGAAAATTGGTATTACATTCGCTGTCCTCCAGGATTCTGGAACTACACACGTTTTTAATATGTTAAACAAATTTGCGAAGGACTTACTAAGATCTTCCTTACAATCCTTTAATACTCTGGCAAATAACTCATCAGTTCGTGGTGACTTATTAGGCTTTACTCTGTCTATTTGTTTATTAACATCGTTATTAGTCACTATCTCACTTAATCTATTTTCTTCACTATCCCTGTATATAGTCGGTGCCTTGGGTATCATGTTTAAATTTTCGGTGGTAAAAACTGTGGAAAAATATCTGTTCAGATTATTGCTCATTTCTCCAACTTTATCCATTAGCTTGCCGGTATCTGACAGTATTGGTCCAATCTTATCTCGTGTTTTCGTTTGATATATTTGGAAGAATCTCTTTGAGTTTGACTTCACCTTCCTTGTTACCTTCAGTTCATTATTCCTCCTACCTTCAGTTCAGTGTGTGTGCGTGTGTGTGTGTGTGTGTGTGTGTGTGTGTGTGTGTGTGTGTGTGTGTGACAAGGGTATACAGTAGATCCTGGGACTGGAGGGATGGCGTAGGGTGCGTCTCCTCCTACAGTTGGGTGGGGGGATTTCCTATATAATCCCTCCACCTCCTCACCCAGGCCCCCGCACTACAATTCAAGTGCAAGTAATTCAAAAGAAGAATGAAAACCTGCCAAATTATGATGAAAGCGATTCTTTTATCATTTAATTTTAATATATTTTTTCTTAAAGAGAGAGAGAGAGTAGTGTGAGGTCAACGGTTAATGTTTGTTTGAGATAATCCTGATAGTGAGAGTCACCCATCTTGTGTGTCAACAACAACACTTGTTACACCTGAGTGTGTCAGGGAAGTGTTTGTCGGTGGGAGGGAGGGTGTAGAAGTGGGCGTGTGGGAGGGAGGGGTGGACGTGGGGGTGTGGGAGGGAGGGTGTAGATGCGTGTGTGGAAGGGAGGGTGTAGACGTGTTGTGAGGGAGGATGTAGACGTGTGGGAAGGAGGGTGTAGACACATGTGTGGAATGGAGGGTGTGGGTGTGGGAGGGAGTGTGTGGGCAGGAAGGTTTAGTCAGTGTTGAGGTTGATAAAAGAGGAAATGTGTTCTCTCGCCTTCATTCTCAGCTGCGACAGACTTGTGGGCGTGAGGGACAGGGCAGGGGAGGTAAGTGATAAGGTTGTGGGCACAAGAGACGGGGTTGAGGGCGTGAGACATAAAGTTGTGGGCGCTAGAGACAGTGTGGAAGGCGCGAGGGCCAAGGTGGTGGGGGTGAGAGATAAACTTGGAGTCAGGGGGAGACTTGCTGAAGTAAGAGACAGACTCGTGGGGGTGAGATTGAGTCCTGCGGTCGTGAGACTCAGCCCAGGGGAAGTGAGACTGAGGGCGCCGCTGGAGAAAGCTGGCGCGAATGCCTGAGCGAGCGTGGGTGGCTTCTCGTCCTCGTGAGGGTCGAGGTCAGACCCCCGCACGCCCAGGTAGTAAGGGCTGGCGAGGACGGGCGAGTGCTCGGGTGGCGGGGAAGATGCTGGTGTTGGCGTTGTGGGCGGAGGCGGCGTTGAAAGCGTGGAAGTGAAGGGCGAAGTCCATTCCATACCCAGGCAGGGAAATGATGACCCCGGGGAAGATGACCCTGTGAGGCATGGTCATGCTGGGTCAGTTATCACACACACACACACACAACACACACACACACACACACACACCACACCCACACACCACACACACACCACACCCACACACACACACACACACACACACACACACACACCACACACACACACACACACACACACACACACACACACACACACACACACACACACACACACCACACCACACACACACACACACACACACACACACACACACACACACACACACACACACACACACACACACACACACACACACACACACACACACACACACACACACACACACACACACACACACACACACACACACACACACACACACACACACACACCACACACACACACACACACACACACACACACACCACACACACACACACACACACACACACACACACACACACACACACACACACACACACACACACACACACACACACACACACACACACACACACACACACACACACACACACACACACACACACACCACACACACCACACATAACACCATCTGTGAGGTAATTACTACACCACGTGAGGTCCCTCATAACACCATCTGTGAGGTAATTACTACACCACGTGAGGCCCCTCATAACACCATCTGCGAGGGAATTACTACACCACGCCAGATCCCTCATAACACCATCTGAGGGAACTACTACACCATCTGGGAGGGAGTTACTACACTACGAGTTTGCTATTCAACACCTACATTAATCTGTATGTTCACTGTATGTTCCTTTACCTTTCTCTAATGAAGGCTTTTGTTAAACCACCAATGTATGTAATAAGTCATTAATGTCCAATGTATATTTTCAGCCTTCGGGCTGCACAATAAACCACACCCACACACAACACACACACACACACACACACACACACACACACACACACACACACACCACACACACACCACACACCACACACATCACTACACACGTGACCACCACTACACCACACACACACACACACACACACCATCTGTGAGGGACACATAACACCACGGACATAACACCATCTACATAACACCAGAGGGAATTACTACACCACGTCCCTCATAACACCATCTGAGGTGAGGCCCCTCATAACACCATCTGTGAGGGAATTACTACACCACGTGAGGCCCCTCATAACACCATCTGTGAGGGAACTACTACACCACGTGAGGTCCCTCCTAACACCATCTGGGAGGGAGTTACTACACTACGTTTTTACTGTTCAACACCTACATTAATCTGTATGTTCACTGTATGTTCCTTTACCTTTCTCCAATGAAGGCTTTTGTTAAACCACCAATGTATGTAATAAGTCATTTATGCCCAATGTATATTTTCAGCCTTCGGGCTGCAGAACTTTTTCAATAAACCGTTAATTATTATTATCATTATTACACACACACACATACACCCACACACACACACACACACACACACACACACACACACACACACACACACACACACACACACACACACACCCACACACACACACACACACACACACACACACACACACACACACACACACACACACACACACACACACACACACACCACACACACACACACACACACACACACACACACACACACACACACACACACACATCTTGTCTACAGTAAAATAAAAAAATATCATAAAACTCAGGTAAAAATAAAGTGAAGGTTATTAATTAAGGCTCAGATTTCCCTCGGTGGCTCAGATCGCCTAAGTTGAGTTGGACGGACCAAGTGTTTGATGTCGGCTTGACTAATTACATTATAGGATCTGTTAATTATCCCGCCAGAACTGTTCCCTGGATCACGTGACCTCCACCACGGGCACTCATTGGCTGGCTGATGGGGCAAGCTTACCTGTCATCTGATTGGCCAGAAACAATAATAATCTTACCCTGAAGTTGATTGGCTGATGCTCTAACCCCTCATCTATCATTGAATGTACATTTCCTACCCTTTGAGAGCTGGTTGAAATCGTTATTATGGATTAGAATGTAAAGAATTGACGGGTTATGCGCCCTACTTTATCCGCCCCACAGTGGACAAAGGCAAACGGATTGCAAGAGTTGAGTTGCGTCAAAACTTTCCTTCTACTTGTGTCTTTAGTTCACCATACATACATACATACATACATACATACATACATACACACACACACACACACATACATACCCTCCCCTCCCCCAACAGGGTCCATGCACAACCTCTTCACCACACACATAGAACCTCTTCACACACAACCCTACTCACACACCCTACATGCACAACCCCAACACACACACCCCCACATTCCCCTACATAAACAGCCACACATACTACACAAAACCCCAGCCCCCCCACACACACAGAGCCAGACATCATACAAGTGCCCTCCCTCCCCCTCACCATCCACTCTGCCTCCCCCCTCACCCCCCCTTCCATCTCTTAGCAGGTTTCAGGCTCTGTCCAACATATCATCGCTGAATCACGTACACGGACTGCCGCGTACGACCCATGGACAAACACGCACACTGACCGCCAGGATAAACCCAACACGGACGGATATTTATATTAATAAGGATAATAATGTTATTAACCATCACCTACAAACTCCCCGAGACGATTACGTATATGGACCTCGAGATATCAGAAGGAACACGGTTAGTACAGTAAGCTGATAAGACGTGAAATTGTAAATATAGATCAACCGCCTCAGCTCCAAAATTTAAAAAAAAAGTATGTAAAGATCAACAATGAAATCTTAGTTGGATTTTCGACCTGAAGAATCTCCACCTCAGCTTAAATGACCTAAAGATTAATCACCCTAACACTATTTGGGGGACGGGGGTGAGGTTAGGTTAGGATAGTACCCAACCTAACCTTAAAGGAACACTTACCGAAGGATAGATGTTGGGTGGGCGTATGCGACTGGGAGTTACTGGGTGGTGAAGTGTTTGGTGCGGGCCCCGTCGAGGAGGTGACTTCCACAGCTAGAGGGAGGATGAGAGAAAGTATTTTTTTTTATTTCAGTAACTATATATTTCAGTTACTATCTTTTTTATTTCAGTATCTCGTTTATGAATTTTCATTGGCTTGCATCTTTATGGAGGAGAGAGAAAAAGGCGGAAAGACAGCAGATTTATAAGAAAATGGGGAGAAAGAAGAGACGTGATAACAGAGAATTGTGTGTAAGCGAGAGAAAAACACCCACTCCCTCACCTGTCATGGGAGTCAGAGAAGCTACTACCACTTGACTGGACTGTGAGGCGGCGCCTGCAGGTAGCGTGACATTGATGCCTTGTTGCTGCTGCTGCATCACGCCCACACCCTGTAGTCCTACACCCTGCAAGCCACCCGTTCCCTGCTGCTGTCCTACTGCCGCCGCTACTGCTGCTGCTGCTGCCTCCTGGTGTTTCACTGCCAGTTTCTCTTGTTTCCTCCACTTGGCCCGTCGATTTTGGAACCATACCTGCGGGGAGATGAGAGAGACAGGTGAGGTATAGACGTGGTGAGGTAGAGGTGTGGGTGAGGTATAGACGTGGTGAGGTAGAGGTGTGGGTGAGGTATAGATGTGGTGTGGTTGAGGTATAGACGTGGTGAGGTAGAGGTGTGGGTGAGGTATAGACGTGGTGAGGTAGAGGTGTGGGTGAGGTATAGACGTGGTGAGGTAGAGGTGTGGGTGAGGTATAGACGTGGTGAGGTAGAGGTGTGGGTGAGGTATAAATGTGGTGAGGTATAGACGTGGTGAGGTAGAGGTGTGGGTGAGGTATAGATGTGGTGAGGTAGAGGTGTGGGTGAGGTATAGACGTGGTGAGGTAGAGGTGTGGGTGAGGTATAGACGTGGTGAGGTAGAGGTGTGGGTGAGGTATAGACGTGGTGAGGTAAAGATGTAATGAGATAGGAAGCCTGTTTTGGTTTTCTCATTTAAAGATAAATCATTTCTATTCCGTGGTCAAAGGTCTCACCTGAACTCTGGCCTCCGTCAAGTCGATCCTTAAGGCGAGTTCCTCCCTGAAGAACACGTCGGGGTAGTGGGTCCTGTGGAAGGCTCTCTCTAACTCCTCCAGCTGGTAGTTGGTGAAGGTCGTTCTGTGGATAGTATGTAATAGTGGTGATGGTGATTTAGAATAATTTCCCTAGGGGCGCTAAAATGGCAGCCGAAAAAATACATTGCCTTTATTGTATTTTAGTTCGATTGTGTTAGTTGCTAATACTTAACCTGGCTTTGGTAATAACAGATCATGAGAGATTAATAACAAACAGATTAAGAGTGATATATAATTAGAGTTGAGCTTGTTTTATTCTGGTAGAAATTCATTTTTGTTGTTTTGGGCTTCTTGTAGGGTCTGATTTAGCGGGGACCTGGCAACACTGAAACCTGTCAAAAGTGACCACTGACCAGTCTGTAAACTGTCGTCCCGACTAGTCAGACCAGCCGTCATATCTGGGTATATTGATGTTTGTCTGCGGCAGGATTGGCCGATTTAAACCAATGGTTTGATCCAAACATAACCCATTTTTATTTTATGCCCATTTTCTTGGTTTTAATAAATTTTTGTTGGTTTTAATGATTTATAATAGATTTGGAAAAGGCTTATGATATGGTGAGCAGAATAGCATTGTGGGAGGCATCACAAGTGTATGGGATGGGAGGAAGGCTATTAAATGCAGTAAAAGGATTCAGTGAGAGCAGCAGGGCAACAGTAAGAGTAAATGGGAAAGAAAGTGAAACAATTGTGTTATGCTCCTTTGGTTGTTCAGTTATACTGTACACTGGTGAAAATGGTGATAATAAACTTACAGGGCGGTACACATCTCAAATCCTGACTATAAGGAGCCAAGTTGCCACTGTTCAGTATAACCGGTAACTGCTTCTGTTTATGGTTGGGCCCCGAGTCTATGATTTTATTGTGTTCAGATCATGTATTATATGGGTCCAGGGGAGCCAGGTTGCCACTGCCCATCTCTCTCTCTTTCCCTCCAACTGTACTTAAATAAATTCTTTAAAAACTTTCAACTGTAAAAGTAAAATAATGTTTTTCATGCATTAAGAAGCTTGTGTTTTACAAACTTGGATTTTGTACAGTGATTTTTTGGCCTTGGAAAAGAGTATAAATGATTGCTAAATCATCCTGAATGTAATGTTTATGATTACTAGCATATTAAAAAGTTATTAAAAGGGGGCTACTAATACTTAAAACTTATTAAAACCAACATAATAGCAATAAACAAAAAGGTTTTTAAAACAATGTTTTTGTTTGTTTTTTGTTTTTACAAAAAAAAGTGATCGCCAACCTTGGTCTGCGGCCAAATTGTGGGTACAAACATCGTTGTTGAGTGATGTTAGTGATACATTTAATTATTTTAACGTATCAACGTGCATAGTTTTCAAGCCATTTAAACAATGAGTACAGTATTTGTTTTTTTTTTGGGTAAAGGTTACTAACTGCGAACGATTAAAAATGTGTTATTCATACACATCTGTGATAGCCTAGCAAGTACTTATTGAAAATAATATTAAGTACTATAATTAAAACATTATATTTATAGGAAAACTGATGATTTGGTGGAGATGTGTATTCATGTCTCAGTTAAGGGAGGTGTTTATGTGCCTGTAGGTCAGGTGTGTGTGTGTTTTGTACGAGAGCTATAGGTTTGGCATCCATTGGTGAATCTTGGCTTGGAGAAAAATGAGACGAAATGTCTGTCAGGAAACTAGTGGTGCTGAAAACAGGAAAAGAAAGGCAAATGAAGATGCATAAAGTCTTGAACATTGCCAACAGAGACGTGACCGACCGCCCAGGCGGCTAACGAGCCGATCAGTGGCGAAGAGGATAAAGGTAAGTAAAAGTTAAAGGAGAAAAAATGAAAAACATGTGGTGACAAGAGACAGGGACTAGGATGAACGATGGTAAACAAGGCTCAGGAGAAAGACGTCTACAACAACAATGTTCAATGAAAAACTAGTTCCTTTGTTGAAATAGATGTTTTATCTAAATCTTCAGTTCCATTGGTTCTTAAATTTTGTGGTGTTGCTCTGTTAGGATTTGTCCAAGCATTGCAGGTGCCTAGAATCTCACAGCAGCTTCACAGTCCAGTAAAATGTAAAAGATCATACGTGGATCTGCACAATTTCAGAACTTGTGCTAGGCTATTTTGCACTTTAACTGGGACTTTTGTCCACTTTGCACATTAACTGAGGGTTGTTTGTCCTAGGGTGCTTTTGTCCGGACCCTAGGTTACTCGCTTCGCTTGAAGCGGCTTATTGATTTTGCTGTCTTCTTTTTTCAGTGTTGTTCAAATGTCCATTCATCTTTTGAAAAACCAGCAGCTTTCAACCAGGGGAAAAATAATTATAGATAGCTGCCCATGAGAACAGCATCAGTCATCGTAAAGCATTGTGAATTTGGACGGAAGCAGAATACATCTATAAGTTAAAATACTCGAAAAAATATAAATATTCCACGGAAACGCTATAGAATATATTATACTGTATATATTTTTCTCTTTATCCCTATATAAGACTCAATATATAAATGTTAGCAACTGCTTGATATTTACCATTATTACACACACACACACACACACACACCTATACACACCTATACCCTTGACAAGAATCCCCAATAAGTTAACGTGTTACACCCACCTGTACCGTCGCTGTTTCCTCTTGAGGGCACCAGCGGTGAGGGTAGTGAAGGTGATGGGCGTAGAGGTGTGTGTGGGTGAGGAGCCGCCCGTGCTACTCCCAGACGTGGGCGTGGAGGGGATGGGCGTGGTGATGGAGAATGAAGGTCCAGCAGTCGTGTGGTGATGGTGGTGCTGGTGATGGGGGTGGTGTGGATTGAGGTGGTGGTGGTGGTGGTGGGCGTGAGGGTGTGGGTGGGCTGCTAAGGGCGCCCCCAGGGTGATTGAGATACCCGAGGGCGTGGTCATAGTGCTGCCCGCCATGCCGCCACAGTCTGGGTAACCTGTCAGGGTGAACAGAGATCAACTGTATTTATAATAAAACAAACATAATTAAGGAAAACACGTACTGGTTAGGTTAGGTTATACTTGGTTCGGTTGTACTAGGTTCGGTTAGATTGTATTATGTTTGGGTATATTATACACAGTGGCATTTCAGTCGTCACCGGTTGAATAACCTGGTCTACGCAGTCGGCTATTCAATTGGATTTAAAGCGACGCAATTTTATACCTGACTTAACAAGACCTGTCTTGTCGGTGCCGAAATTACTGACCATTTGTGTCGGGTCAACCAGGTCAGAATCTCCACCCCGGGTATGAACGTGAGAATAGAGAAAACTGAATTTTATATATATATATATATATATATATATATATATATATATATATATATATATATATATATATATATATATATATGTATGTGTGTGTGTGTAGAAGTAGTTGTATTGACAAAAAAATTAAGAAAAACAACAGATAAGAGTGGAAGAGGTGAGGAGTTTTGCGTGGTTGGCTTGGCTGGTCGCGGCGGCTCTAACCAAGTTAACCTAATAGCGGTCATTGAGTTAGGGGTAAACGATTTAGTCAGCCTTGCTCCGTATATAAGACACGGCCACCTCCGCCTGGCAAAACACAACCTCCTTCATGCTTCTACTTCACCCAGCAAGGAATATTCGAAGGTTCGGGGGAGGGAGAGCAGCATATATATATATATATATATATATATATATATATATATATATATATATATATATATATATATATATATATATATATATATATATATATATATATATGGCAGTATGTTGTCATTTGAGGTGTATCTGAATCTGTGTACTGCGAAAATTATTTGTTAACTGGCTGGGAATTTAACCAATTTTAATTACTGCCAAAAGTTTTAACTAGTGTTTGAGCTGATTAATGAGTTGGTAAATGTTCTGTATGTTTACTAATGTTTATACTAATGGACTGTTGTAATAAGAACATTATTGTTATGATAAACAACCTATGCACTTTAATGTCATCCTGAACAATTCATAGTTGTATTTAATGTGTTATGAAGAACACTCGTGTGATAAACTCAGTCGTGGAAAGACTTATTAGTGACACAGTAGCCTCGCTACTCAGATTCACTTCCTCAAAAAATCACTATTATAGTTTTATCATTACTATTGGAACTTTTAAGCTTATAACTTTGTTTTAGATTTGATGGAACTCTTCTTATGTTATTTAATTTCAACTTTTATTATTAAATATTTACTGTATGTGTTTATCTCCGTGCTGCGCCAACGGAACCTTAACTTGCCGAGTAACATGTTCATGGCACGCAGAATTATTTACATTTTACAGAAGTGCTAATTATACATTTATCTCTCAACTCACCGTACTTGATAGGCGTCAGATTGTGTAGTAGCCCGGAGCTCTGGTCAGGCTGGGAGGTAGGGGTGAGGAGACCGTTGATAGAGTAGCCGCCCATATTGACGCCTACACCCGCCCTCAGACCCCTGAAATGGGCGTCAGAGAAACCTCCACCACCCCCTTCTAACATCTTGTCGTCCATGCTAATATTATGAGGGTGGGAGGACTTCGCTTGAGAGTGATCTAACCTGACTGGTGGATGTATTGCGAAGGTGTGGGATTTATCCTTCAAGTGTAGCTGAAACGCAACCAGTAGTTGGTTATTACTCTTCCTTGTTTCATGTGTTTATTTCTTCATTTTCTTAGTGTTTGTTTATTATCAGTTTCCTTTATTCCGTGTCTTTAAACCACCATGATAACTACAGTTATTGTGTGTGTCTATCGTGATATTCGAACACTTCTATTTACGGTTTTATTTTTCTTCATTTTTTCTCTATTATCGACTCTGTTATTACACAATTTACTTCCTCGCTAATTTTTAAGAGCTTCCCGCGCAGGTAAGATTTTTTCAGTTCGTGCGATGGTTTTTGCTTACGCTGTGATCACGACTTTAGTCAATCACGCAGAACTTGTAGGTGATAGATAAAGACAGATGCTCTTGTGGGTGATAGATAAAGACAGATGCTCTTGTGGGTGATAGATAAAGACAGATGCTCTTGTGGGTGATAGATAAAGACAGATGCTCTTGTGGGCGATAGATAAAGACAGACGCTCTTGTGGGTGATAGATAAAGACAGATGCTCTTGTGGGTGATAGATAAAGACAGATGCTCTTGTGGGCGATAGATAAAGACAGACGCTCTTGTGGGTGATAGATAAAGACAGACGCTTTTGTGGGTGATAGATAAAGACAGATGCTCTTGTGGGTGATAGATAAAGACAGATGCTCTTGTGGGTGATAGATAAAGACAGACGCTCTTGTGGGTGATAGATAAAGACAGATGCTCTTGTGGGTGATAGATAAAGACAGACGCTCTTGTGGGTGATAGACGCAGACGACACACTTCCTCCAGCAAGACTTAACGAGGTCAGTAGTTCAGGTTAATGCTGCCTCTGGCTCCATTTAGATTTTTGTCATTAATTTTGCGGGTGGTGTTATGGTGTGGTAGTACCTGTCGTTACTGCTCTTGGTCTTGTATATCCGTACCTACAAATAGACTAAGAATCTTTCCACGGCAATACAGTAGTGCGGCGCCAGATTTAATTCCAATTGTCGCTCCGATCACTTAACGATAGAAGTTAAAATACTGCAGTTCGCTGGATTGTTGATACTTGGTGATTAGTGTTCACTAGTTAGTGTCCCGGGATTATTATTTTGATGGCCGTCACAAGTGATCTCGTGTCCGAACTAACACAGCCAAGGAGAGGTCAGGCCGCCAACATTAGCATCCTGACGTGGGAATACAACAAATTACTCTGACAGATTTACAAACTTCACTTTTACAGCAAGGTGTTTCAGCACATCAGTGTATACCAGGCAAACTCTCTGCCTCTAAGACCTTCACAAGTCAACACAAGTCACACGGGGGTCAAAGTTCACGCAGGAGTGTTATCAATGTTGCTGCCAGCGGGGCAGTCGCTGTAGTCCCAGAAGAGTAGAGTTGGAGGGCGGAGTGCCACCGTGGGGGAGGAGTCGGTACCATCGTGGAGGGGCGAGGGAGGAGCCAGTGCCGCATGCCGGAGGAGGAGGAGGGGTAGGTAGGAGGGCCTGACGAGAGAGAATGGGGAGAGGGTGAAACTAACCACGTTTCAACCCCTCAAATTAATTTTGCTTTCTGTGAAACTCGGCATATGACAAACTAGTAATATAGTGTTGTTTGGCCACCACAGGCAGCCGTCACTATACACTGTAAACAAAATAATTCACCCCCGTCACCGCCAGCACTGCTGAAGGGAAAAGTCGGGAGGGCCGTTGAGGGTCTTCAACTATCAATATTTTTCCTTCGTAGCAGACAATCCTCTCTCATTCCAGAACGATAGTTAGACACGAGAGGAAATGGCCACCGAGATGTCTTATTTATTCCTGGAATTGTTGTGATGGAAATAGATAACGACAAGATGCATATTTGCGTTGGTGAAAAGTGGGTGAGGAGAAGAGGGGGGTGTTAGGTGGGGGTATGAAGGAGGGGCGTGGTTGTGGCTAGCTGGAGGAGGGAAGTAAGGGGAGTAGAGATCACGGTAGTGGAAGCCCCACGTGATCCACGAAACGATTTACTGTTAGTCAATCGTCCTCGTGGATGTCGTGTTATCTAGGTACTCACAGCTCATGCTCACGGCCACACACCTTCCAGCGTAAAAAAATAACGTCAGCACAAGCATCAGCGTCTGGCGTTCATATCTTCTCAAGAATGACGTGTTGAACTTGAATAGAAGGTATTGTAAGATAGACACTAATCCGCCACTCTCCCCAGACATGTTGCTGTGAGCGTCTCCTCGCCCACACCAAGTACTATAGTGAAAAAATAATTATCACTCAATCAGAGATAATGAACTGTTCCGCTATTCACCAGTAAGGAAATAATAGCGACAGTAAGTTAACACAACACACTAGAATAACAAGATTATGTTACCTTCATTAATGTGGATGAAATGTGCTTTGTTATCCCTTGTTAGTTTTGTTCGTAAACTATACTACTGTATATTATAATCCTGTAGCTCCTCCATTTTACCGTTTGCTTCGATGAAATAACGTTACAGTACCATGAACAGCGCGGCAAAGATTAAAGTCTTATAAAGACACAGATGCAGTTTTATGACGCGCAACTGAAATAATATGTACTGTACAGTCCAAAGCAGTAATTGCTACCCCCCAGTAACTAGAGCCGCGGCAAGTGAAGGCCTAGCGATTGGATTGCTGGGTAGTTTTGGAACTATCGTGGCTGGCGATGTTGATTGGTATCATTATCAACATTCACTGGTTATGGCTCCAGCTACTATAGGTAGGGGAGGGGGTAGCAATTACTGCTTCTGACTGTACTACAGCAAGGTGGGCTAGTGTGAACTAGGCTGTGCTGCGGGAAATTTTCAGAGGTGACAATGTTCAGCAATGTTTTGTTTTGATTGTGAAGTTATTTCGTTGTTGGACTTTAAGTTAATGTGTTGCTACATGTGCTGTTTCATTATTTATATCTACATTGCGTTTTTAAACTATAACATATAACTTGTGGTCAATAAACTTCTCTAATTGTTACAACAACCCGAATATTGTCAGGTTATCTTGTCATTATTATAAATAATACTGTTTGTCTTTCGTCATCTGACTTGTCACTTTGAGCTGGTTTTATTGCCAGTCTTAGTTCCCATTTACCTTAACTGTGGTTGGTTATTCCCGATAACGGGAATTATATGGTTATTACTTAGACAAGTCTTTTTGACGAGTGTATGAAGAAGAAGCCAAGGCCACCGGGTCGAACACCTTTGTTTTGACACGAGTTGTGAGGTGACCTACAGTCATTTGTGGCAAGTGTGACGGTGTGAGTGGATAGGACCAGGTGTGAGGAGAGGTCTTGTAGCCCACTTTCCAGTATTTACCATATACGTCCAGTGTCCAGACTGTGCACGTGTGGTTTCTGCGGCGTGATGGTGTTCTCAGGCCACCAACTGGTGGTAGTTACGGTAAGGTGACGGTGGAAATGTAGCGCTTCATAGGAGTTGGGCTGTGACGCAAGTGTTATGTCCCTAGAGTTTTATCAACTTACAGTATATATACCTGTATATTTAGTTCGGCATGTACTGTACAATTTCCAAAACAACTGTCTCTACAATTTAAATTTAAATGTTGAACGAAATGCTTTGATAAATTTGCCAGTGCATCGTGATCTACTGCATATACAGTATATGGCAGTCTGGGTACTAGATAGTTCGCAATTGAAATTAGTGTTTTAGGCTGATCCAGGAAGTAGATAGTGTAATATAACAATACCTGTGGCTGATGAACCGAAAAAGAAACGTTGTTTAAATAACACAATATTATAGGCTTAGCTATTGTACAAGTTGTAAAACAAGTTTGTCGTCTGCTGCCCTGACAACGCCCATGGCACATGTTTACGTTATTTCCAGGCCCGGGATAACTGATAGGTCGGTTACTGACCGTTCACCGCCATGAAAACTTAGGAAACACAACTATAAATATTTTCATTTACCGATTATGCATTTATGTAACAATTTGGTATAACTGCAGTTTCGGACAATATGAACCGAGTTGAGCAGTGTGTTCTTCCGATGGTTTAGACAATTTTAAGACCCCTTTCTTCTATGACGTTTCCCTCGCAAAGTACTTATAAATACCGGGGAATCCAGGGGGACGGAGCCCCCGGGTTAGGAGGTTTGGTTAGGTAATTTTTCGGTCATTTGCGACGGAAGCGTCTTAGAAATGTCTTAAAGTTGTCTGAACCATCGGAATAACACATTGCTCAACTACTCGGGCGTTTTGTCCGAAACTGCAGTTTTACCCACAATTTACTTAATAACCAACCCCCCAAAAACGCCAACCTGTAAAAAATTGCCCAATGTCGAATAATCTGGTACTGTGGATATAATTATTATTATACTCAGCACTTACACTGGCGCCTTACACTAACGTTCGAGAAAATTGTAGAAGAATCGTGAAAGTGTTAGTTCCGCCACAACGTCCCTTCCCCTTTGGGGGTGGGGGGGGGGAAAGTTGTGGTGGAGGAACATGGTGAGTGCAGCTAGCCCACCCAGCTAGAGGGTTTGGGGAAGGGGTGCTGTGGTCAACCATCAATGGGCTTGAGACACGGTGGACAGTGGAGGTGGTGTAGGAAACTCGTCGGTGAACGCAATGGATGGTTTAACTCCAAACGCCGACTTTAATGACTAGTGTCATTGACAAAACTATCATAATATCGGGAAGTGTTGTACATAGGGAGTGACAGTTTGGCAAAAGTTTTCAAAATCTAATTGCATGGGTTGGATTATTTGTCTATCGGCCACGCTAATTCCGAATATGTTGAGTTTTTTACATCATTGCATTAGAAGGTTTGTGGATACTTTTGGGTTTGGCATGAAAAACGCGAAAAAACTGTAAATAATAAAGGGACTGGCAATGTGGCACAACCTGTTAAAATCAAGTTATTGAATTGGATCATTCGACTACTGTGTACACTGGTTCATAATATGCTATTGTTTTACAACTCAATGCGCTACAAATTATGCCGATATTTTTGCTGCAAGTCACCACATACGTATATTTCGAAAACCAGGGCCCAATATTACCAACGGCGTGGATAGATTCCGTGGAATTAATTCAGGACATTCCCGCTCATGGAACATTACCAAACTCCGAATATGTGCCAATGGCAGGCCAATGGCAATATTTACAGAGTTTGTTGAGGCTCCCTGGACGGGAATGCCCTGAATTTATTCCACGGAATCTATTCACGCCGTTGGTAATATTCGTCCCAGGACTGATCAACGAATTCAGCCCAAGTAGCTTGACTTGGAGAGTTAAGGACAAAATCTCAGTCCGTACTTTTGAATAAAATATTGTTCAATAGGTGGTGATATTGAAGTGCTGAAAGTTGTTTTTTCTGTGTTGTTTTGCAGTTAGTTCAAAGGGCCGCCACCAAGATGGGTCGTCCTAAGATTAGCAACACTCGGCTGCGCCAGGGTAACGATAAGGTGTTCGGGGTTCGGATGCCTCTGCAATCTAACAAGTTGCCTCTGAACAAGGAAGTTGGAAGTGCACTGGCTTATGAAGCAGAAAACGAGAGGTTAAGGAGAAGAACAAATGCTTTTGATTATATGGATGCCACCAACAAGGTGACTGAGAAGGTACTGGATGTGTATAGGAAGGCCACTGTCCCCACTATCTCTGAAATCAGGGTGAAAATGAGAGTCCATGACCTGTGGAGGATGCGGAGGGAGACGATGATGATGAAGGGAAATGGACAGAAACAGAAAAGGAAGAAAACGAAGAACGGGAAGCTGAAGATGAGGTTCGAGGATATAGCTGAGAAGTTGTTTGATGTGGCAGACGACAGCAAAGTGCACGAACGAGAGAAAAGCTTCCTGGCAGCCCAGAGGAAACCGGGAAGGGAGGGCTGCATTGATGGCGTTGACAAAATTGTGACTGCCAAGCTGAAAGAGAGGGAGAAGGAAGCGAAGAGGGCAAAGAAAAGGGCTGAGGCAGAGAGGAAAACTGAGAAGATGAGGTCAAAGAGTAAGGAGGAGATGGAGAGGATGTCGTGTAAAGTGTCGGCAGTGGATGACAGTGCTCAGAAAGAAGATAGTGATTATAAGGATGTCAATGACAATGAGTTCAAGGCTATGGTCGACAGGAGAGCAAGATCAGAGAAAAGGAAAAGGGAGAAAGAAGCCGAGGACAGGATCGGAGAAACTGCTGACAGGTTCAAGGTATCCAATGATGCAGTGGCTCACATCGCAAACACCATCAGAGCTGCAGACAACATCATAACTGAAGGGGACAAGTCTAAAGTGACTAACTGGAAGAAAGTGGAGAGACGTATGTGGTGACTTGCAGCAAAAATATCGGCATAATTTGTAGCGCATAGAGTTGTAAAACAATAGCATATTATGAACCAGTGTACACAGTAGTCGAATAATCCAATTCAATAACTTGATTTTAACAGGTTGTGCCACATTGCCAGTCCCTTTATTATTTACAGTTTTTTCGCGTTTTTCATGCCAGACCCAAAAGTATCCACAAACCTTCTAATGCAATGATGTAAAAAACTCAAACATATTCGGAATTAGCGTGGCCGATAGACAAATAATCCAACCCAAGCAATTAGATTTTGAAAACTTTTGCCAAACTGTCACTCCCTATGTACAGTATAGTAGACAAGTGTGTAGTAACTGGTTAAGGTACGGGAGAGGAAAGAATGCAAACTGTATTAATTATTATACTAGGGTGATAGAACTAAAGATTGCTCTATTTATGTGCAGTTTTTGGTGGAAATTTAAGTTATGGAGTAAGTTGAATTAAAAAGTTAAATTGCCTTCAGTTTTGCTGTTCGAGAACCTCTACCAAGTCTCTTGCTAATCACCTTATAATCCGCCTAGTTGAGTCTATAGTAAGAGTGACTACAGATCTCGAGATGGTGCTGGCCGTTTTGTTTCTTTATCAATTTTTTTTTTTAGTAATCTAAGCTTAGTTTATCTCTAACTTGATTATTTTACGTCTTTTAACGTCATATTTCTTGCCTCTGCCATATTTTATTTGTAGTGCTTTTTCGTAAATGACTTAAAATTGACAATATTGGGGGACCCATGGGAAATCGGAGTTTTTGGGTTGGGCGAGAGAAAAAAAAAGGTGATTTGCTACACAAATGACCAAAGTTGGCTTGGATTTTCAGTTTTAACAAGTCAAGTCCAAATTTGAGAATACGCATTTGTTTTGGCGAAAGGGTATCAAATTCGAATGAATAACCCAAAACCCATTGGCAAAACCAAGGTCAAAAGTACATACCTAGAGCTGGTGGACGTCCGCCTCACAAGAGGTCATAGCTCAAGGTTGAAGCCACAAGTCCAAAAAACTGTTTTGTGAGGGCAAACTTTTTTGGAGTGAGAATTGTGAACTTTTGGAACAATCTGCCAGTGTGTTGTGACTGCACAGTGCGAGAGCTCATTCAAGGCCAGACTTGACCAACACTGGAGCAGGTTCAGGTACATTCAGGAGCCGGTGCATGCCCAGTACTTGCCAATAGTGCGTAACAGGAACGTGATCGATCGCCCAAGAGGCTAATGAGCCGATCAATGGGAATGAGGATGAAAGTAAGTAAAATTACCAACCCGGGTACACGAACATTTTTCTATCATTAGATCAGTTTTTTAGGCCCCTGCAGTCGCATCTGTTTAATGCTTGTTTGCCGGCCAAACACATGAGGTGGGGTGAATGGGTTCCTTGAGAAACGCCAGTAACTCGGAGATTATATATAGTTTTTTTCTAGCACTGGTTTTTTCTTGTAAAGTCAGTGTATACAGTACTGTATGTGAATTCTTTTATCATAATTTTAGGTGTTGGCAACGATGGCTGTGGCTACAGAAGACAGTGTGCCACAACACAAATCCTTACAAGGAGCAGCGGGACGCAGCTCTCCTTATGGTGACAGGAGTTTAACTGAACAAACTACAGGGTCGGTGAAAGGTGAGGAAGCATACAGTTAGGTATACTGTGGTGGGTCACATTATTGCTCACATGCTCATTAGTCACTCGAGAATAACTTCACCTAACCTACATTGCATAAACAATGCAATTTATTGGTGTTCCTGTGGAATACAATAAATTGCATTGGCAATGACCCGGCCTTCCTATGCTGCCTCCTCACTCCTGGATACAGCTGATGGGACTGACCCGGCCTTCCTATGCTGCCTCCTCACTCCTGGATACAGCTGATGGGACTGACCCGGCCTTCCTATGCTGCCTCTTCACTCCTGGATACAGCTGATGGGACTGACCCGGCCTTCCTATGCTGCCTCTTCACTACTGGATACAGCTGATGGGACTGCTGCGCTCCGGTCCACGGTGCCACACTGTTATGGTAGTGCAGGGAATTAGCTAGGGAACATACATTGTGAGCTAGACAAATATTGCTGCACCACATATGATCCCCTAGCATTCTTGAGATGATATCTATATGGCCTGGCAGACAAATATGCGGAAATATAACTCATTGCATTTCGTTTATCATTTCAGCCAGTTTTCTTCATTCTGGCACTGATCTGTTCTTTATTATTTCCTCCCATTACCACTTCACCAACATGCACTGTAACCTACCAGGTCTTTTAACTTTTAAGCATCATTGCCTGAACTCTCTCTTCGACAGGTCGGTGCAACCAACAGATGTTATCAGGGATGTGCAGGGCATATATACGTCGGTGGTACTACGATGCCACCATTGGGGACTGCAAGAAGTTCATTTATGGTGGTTGTCAAGGCAATGAAAATAACTTTCTATCTCGGCAGCATTGTCGTGCTGCTTGTCCAGGTACGTAATGGGTGGGAGGAGAAGATTAGGAACCAGAACTAATTACCCAATTAGCTAAGTGGGTGTTAGGTTACTTTATCCATTGCAACACAGAAGAGCCTGTTAGCCGCTTTGGCAGTCGGTAACGTCTGTTAAACATTATTGGAAAGTACTGGGTATGTACCTGTGCCAGTGTTGCTCAAATCTGGTCTAAAATGAGCTCAACCTCTGTTAAGTCACAACACCCACATCTCTCACTCCGAAAAAGTTTGTCCTGACAATTTTCTGAACTTCCCTGTTAGCATTCCTTTACTAGATTGTTACATAGATGCTCCATCATTGCATCACTTATAATGCTATCTAGTACTTTGCACACACTGCTGGTCAAACTCACTATTCTGTAATTGATTGTGGAGTGGCAATTGCATTATTTGATTATAGGACTCGCATATGCCATTTTCCAGTCGAGAATATTTTGCTCATCCATGAATTTGCAAAACTTGATTTTAGGGGGCTTGGCAACTCTTTTCAGAACTCTTAGCACTCAGGGATGCATGCTGTCAGGGCCCAGGCTCTTGTGAACCTTTAATGTTGACAATTTGTGGTTAATACGCTCTTCTGATAACGCAATGTGTGTGAGGGCTCTTGAACCGTCTTTTCTCCAAACGCAGGGAGATTTTTTTATCTTGTGTACACTGAGGAAAATAATTGATTTAATGCCTTAGCTTTGTCCTGTTCTGAGGATGCATAACTGCCATCTTTTGAGTTACTACACCCCACCGATTTAATTTCAACTGTAACCATAGAAAGCCTTTCAATTTGACTAGACTTCACTTGCAATCCACTTCTGAAAGTTTTTTCAGCTCCTTTACACAACTTTGCCTGTTTCCTGGACCTGGCATACAGCCTTCTCTCCTGCTCATCATTTGTAACGGTCCAGGTCTTGAATATCTGAGATTTCTTCTAAACTTGATCAACCACCACGTGATTGATGTGCAACAGTTTTCTTATATTCCTAGGGTCAGTGGGTTTGGTGTTATGAATATATTTATCAATCCAGTACAGTAGTTCACTTTACTGACTGTCGTCATCTCGACAAATATTTGAATCTTTGCCTCTTAACATTAGCCAACGGGAGCCAGATGTTACAACTTGGCCACCATACCCTCTTTGCTAGTTATGATGAGGTCCAGCAGTTTTGGTGTTTGTTCCCCACTCTAGTTAATTGGATCTTTCACATGTTATAATAGAAAATTCTCTTCTCTACAAAAAGAGTAGGTTAGGTTTGCATTAGGGTGTTTAATTATTAGGTGGGATAAGCGGGGGTCCTTAGTATTGATAAGATCCGAGTTAGGTCTCCTGCAGGTAATGAAATAATGTTATTTTAGGTGATGACATACTTTCTTGTCCTGTTGGCTTATCAAACCTATCGGGTGTCCCTTTTCATTGATGAATTAACCAAGTTTCCTGCCTTCAGACGAGGTGACATGCCCAGAGGACTCCGGCAGGACATGTCTTGTGTCGGAGTCGCTGTGCATCAACACCACATGCAGTAATCATTCCGACTCGGTTTGCCGTGTCACCCCGTGTACCTGTGATGTTCACTACTTCGACGAGCTGGGCAAACCAGTGAAGTGTGAGGAACTACCTGGACAGGCAACTACTGATATGATTGCCAGCACTCCTGCCACCTCTACCTTCCCGATGATCACAGATAGTTGTGATGTTGATGGGTGTGATGAAGGTGAGTCGGAGGAGGGGATTTCTGTGAGGGGAGAGGTCGTCCTCTCCATTGTTCAGAATGCATTATTTGCTGTATATTTGAGTATTAAAAAGTTAGTATACTGTAAACGCTATTAAACCATTTGGAAATGGAAAATCAGTAGGCGGTCTAGAAAGTCGTTAAAACAAAATTCTCGCATGCTTCATGTCTTGTAAATTAGTTTTTTCAAGAGACAATTTGATTTGGTTTACAGTAAATGCAAGAAATAGCTTGTTTTTAATCCAATTTAAATTACAATGTATATAAACCATAATGTTGGAAGTTTTTATTGTCGGTTGGATTTATTCTAGATGAGAGTGATCCCTGGCTGGTGTATGTGGTGGTGGTGCTGCTGGTGTTGATGTTGGGGGTGACTCTGGTGTTGTGCTGTAGGAGGCGAGGCAAGGGTAGCTTTTATATAATCTTTGTACCATCACCGTTGCGAGAAACCGGAGATGTGACCACTTCCCCCACCTGTCTTGCCCCCTTCAGTCACACCCAAGAGAAGTTTACAGAGTCTAGTTTAGTTGTATGATCTTTTTCCTTGTGCTTAGGCCTTTTAATATACTGTGTTGTGGTTGGTGCTTAAAAGAAACTTTATAAGCATCCTGATGCGGTCATGGAGGCCCAAAAAACACAATGGTCTCTTCTAGTGTTCTGAAGTTTTAAGAACTGGGCATTTTCATTATTGTTTGGAGATTTTATCAGTCTTTAGGCTTTTTAAAGATGCTCAGATTTTAAATAGTAAAAATGTTCAATTATTTTTTAATTATCTCGGATTTTAATAAAACATTTTAAAGTTCTCTGCTTTTATAATGTGTTTGAATGTCACAAGTAATGTCTTTAGAAACTGTTATAAATAATAAGTAAAAAGTAGTTTGGCTTCGTGACATTGAATCTTGGCAGCTATTTCTTTGATCGTTCTTGAAGCTCTCGGAGATCCTTCTGCTGCTCATCACAGTCTGCTTGGTTTTAGCAACAATAAAGATATAGTTGAAACTTGCTTATTGTAGTGGCACAAAGAATTATTTGTTATGTGATTTCTAACATTTAGCTGGAAAGTGATGGTTAATAAAGAAATGTTGATATAGATACAAAAAAGGAATGAAACTGGAAAATGTATTTAAAGTTGGTTGAGGAGACATGATTTAGCAGAAAAGGAAAGAAACATCTACTCGAGTACAATGCATCAGGTAATTGTATTTAAAGTTGTTTTGGAAGACAGGTTGCAAAGAAGAAAAATTCAATCAGTTGAAATTTTTTTAATGTATTCTGGGAAGCTACATCTTGATTTCCTACAGTCTGTCGTAACCCTATTTGCCAGTTAAATACTGTACTGCAATGGGTGCATTGATAGATTTGTACTTCACGAATGTATTTTCCTCAAGACATTTTTAGCACGGGTTAGTGTTCATGTACTGTAGTTATATTTTTCTTTGCATATACATGGTACAGTACTGTATTAATTTCTCATCTTGTGCCATTGTGATGTTTTATTTGTTCATGTAATAAACTGGTAAATAAACAAAGATCAGTGGAGTGGAGGCATTAAGATTATATGGGAGGAGGAGCTCTCAAATTCGTACATAATTACCGATATCAAATTGGTTTTGCCGCATACACTAGTTTTCCTATGACCCTTAACTGGGGGGTGCCACTGCATGCTCAAATTTACCCGGCAGCTTGGCAGAATACTGCTGACCCTTTGAAACTATAATAGTAGGTGTCTGTATCCCCACAAGTGTCCGTAATACAAGAATTTCCCAGCATTTGTAATTAAGTCAGCAGCTCAGGCGGGCACGTTAAGGTTGGAACTGAATAGTGAAGTTAACATACAGTATTTGGACACTGGCTAAGTGGCTGTACTCGGTTGGTATAACTTGATTTATTGCAAGCGACAGTTTCAGAGAGATTTCCTCCATGTCAGGCACTAAAAGAGTAGTAACACCTACAAACAATGCAGTCAATTATTTATATATCCCTTTGGCTGCGGGCCATTACCCTAAGCTGAATAAAATCGTCTGGTGCTAGCTAGACCAAAACGGAAAGTGTGGGAATCGCAGCAAAAAGGATATACAAGGTTAAGGTTTTGTGTGTAATGAAAAAAAAAAATAAATCATAGGCTATTTTGGGGGGTAGGTTTGGGGTGCGGGATGCAATGGAATTGTCACTGTAGTTCCCGACGTGGCAACTCTGGCTCCACCAGGCAGTCCGGGTTGAACCGTGGTGGAGAGAGGATGGACCTACTCGGCGCTACTATCGTCCAGACATAAGCGCCCTCCCTGCAAACAAATGTTTACTCGTCACTTCTTTGCCCGCTTGGTTTGTTTAATGTGTAACAAAAACAAACAAACATTCACGTCTTCAGGGTGGTTTGTAGAAGTGTGTGGTTACAGTGTTGGCGTGTGTATTGCTGTGTAGAGCATGACAATTGTCGAAAATTACCCTGGACGATCCCTCGCCCTATAGCCCTTCTTTCAACACAACCTACGTTAAATCATGGTTGGTACCAGCTCTATTGTTTATTTTTGTATTACTTATAATGATCTATTAAAAAGGTAGCGATATTTTTATGCCTACTTTGAAGTTTAATGCCGAATCTAAGTTATTTTAGATGCATCCCCGCATGATTTTGTTTTTATTGGCATTAGAATAATTTAATCGGTAATGCTAAATGGTTGTTAGGTTTGGTTAGATTTGACAATGCTATATTAAGTTGTTTGGTTAGGGTTTTAATCGTCAGGTGAATTAAGCTGCGGTTCCCAATTTTAATTAACCATAGAACTTAAACTATTATCTATAAGCTTTTTACGGATTAGTCTTATGATTGGAAAATACCGTAATACTTTAGTGTTGTGTTGCCAATGTAAGTGTGCCGAGTTAATAATGTCTTTCTAACGTGCATTACTGTGTTGTGTGGTGGCGTCCTATTTCGAGTTTTATTTATTTATTTTTATTTTTAATTTTTTTTGCCGGGCATCTGTATCGTTACTGACTAGTGTTGTTGTAGCAGCAGAGTTTTACATACTTGTGGAGTGTTGTGATTGTGTTGCATTTGGCTGTCATATTTGTGTTTTGAGAAAGTACGTTGATGAGGACGTTGTGTTTTATGATGTAATGATTGTGTGGTCAAGGAAGACGATGCTTGCAGTAGGTCACTCCGTTAGTCTGCAGGGAAAAACTTGTTCCCATAATAACATTCACCATTCGTGAAAGATAAAAATGGAAATCTGTTTTCATAATTTTGTTCTTTGTTGTATATAAACGATTGTCATATTCCAGGTCTAGGATTGTCTTTAAAAAGCCTTTTGACATATGCCTCTTTGGTCATCTTATTATAATGGTTGTAGTAATAATTGTTACTGTATTTTTTAGAGGCTAGTATGTCAAGGTTATCTGCAAATGTAAGATATACTGTGGTTGATAGATTTGTTTAGTAATGTGATGATTCGCTGCTATCGTCTTGAATCCATCTTCGTCTGAAGAATCCGCCTGTTGTTTTCAACTAAAGATTAACCACCCTAACACTACTGTATTTGGGTGGATGAAGTTAGGTCGTGAGGTAGTATAGGTAAGGTTTGGTTGGGTCGTGGAGGAACCCAAATATTGTGGCCCACCAGGACTATTATAAGCTACTTGGCCCGGGTCTTTAATCCACACGGTTAGGTTGGGAACCATTAACCCTGGTGCTCAATTTTATCATACGGCACTCGCTATTCCTCCACGCTATATTCACTAAAACTCCGCCATGGACAATTAAATTTACCCGCTCGAACACAGTTTCATCATTAAAGGAATTTATCATCTAACGCACAACGGGGAAATCTCTCACTTGGCCACATTGATTGACAAGTACTCAATGGCAGGGAACATCTTTCAACAAAGCCTCGAGTCAGGTTTGTGAAATTGAATTACATTTATTTAAATTATGTGAAGGTTTGTGTATATAATAATTGTTTAAGGTTAAGAGTCGTTTGAAGAAATTATATTACAGGGAAACCGTTTGGATTTTTTTTATGCAAACAGAGAAGGGTGATCTAGTCAATTGCGGACATGCACAGCGAGTCTCCGCTTGCAGACAGAAGGAACTTGAAAATCACCATAATTTGGGTGTTTGGTTTTGCGTCCGCCCTAATATACTATTAATTTAAACACCTGTTCTCCATTTCCGCTTCTAGCACAAGAATAGTAGTCGGATCTGGGCCAGTTGCCTTCACTTGTACTTAATTATTCATGAAATGCTATGAATAGAAAGGCATCTCGGGGCCTTAAACTGTGTGTGTGTGTGTGCGTGTGCGTGCGCGCGCGCGCATAATTGCGTTGTATCTACTGCATCATCTACCTCATCCACAGCACCACTTAATTAACTGACACACTGTACCATCTTTCTGACACTGCACCACCTGACTGAGACGTACACTGCACTGTATGAGTGACTGACACACTGCACCATCCGATTGAGACACTGCCATTTGTCATTGCACCACCTGGTTTGCACACTGCACCACCTGGCTGACGCTGCACCACCTGGCTGACGCTTCATACTTGTACTATTGATCTCAGTGAGGGAGTCGAGATGAGCAGTACGCAGCGTTCGGATGTACAGTCTCGTTCAAGATTCTTCGAACACTGCTGGAGACAGGTGGCAACTCGAGGCCGTTTGTTTACTATACTAAGAAGTAAAAATTATGAATGAATGTAAAAGTGATCGGTGATTGGTTACTTAGTTCCCCGTTGCTTAAATAATGGTTGGGCTTTGTTGTTTCATATTATATTATACCTTTCTGCTGGTATATACTGTTAATTTGATTTTAAAATGGATAGAACAATGGGCCAACCTATATGAATTTATGTTTAGACAAACATAAGAAAAAATCGGTAAGTGTATTAAAGAACATCATGCATCGGGCACAGCTGTGTGCAGGCTGTTTATGAGGTTGTTTATCATTAATTTAGCCTAATATTATCTTGAAACGTTTAATCCCTTTCGGGTAACTAATCCAGTCGTATGTAACCGATGCTAAACAAACTTCTTTCTAAAGACGCTGATTTCGTGCAACACAAACTGCTGTTTTAATTTGCTGTGGAATTAAGCAGAATCATCGGTTCACTGCTACCTTTAGTAAGTGTGTGTGTGTGCGCACGCATGCACATGTGGAGTGTGTGTGCACATGTGGAGTGTGCATGTGGAGTGTGTGTGTGTGTGTGTGTGTGCGCGCGCACATGTGGAGTGTGTGTGCACATGTGGAGTGTGTGTGTGTGCGCGCACGCATGCACATGTGGAGTGTGTGTGCGCGCGCACGCATGCACATGTGGAGTGTGTGCGCACATGTGGAGTGTGCATGTGGAGTGTGTGTGTGTGTGGTGTGTGTCAGCCTGTGTGTATTTGATAATGACATTGTTCAATTGAAGGTGATGGTGTATAATCTTACGAACCATCCGTCTGATGGTGTAAACTAGTGTGGTAGCATATGCCTAATACTTTTACAACCCTTTATCTAGCAATATCACTGCCATTCCAAGACTCTGAATATTGTAAACAGCAAATTGTATTTCTTTCGTTGAGTGACTAGTTTCCCCCAAAAAAAAAGTAAAACAAAAAATCCTTGTTTTTGACTTGTGTAGATTACGTCACCTTTAGTCTGGTGTCTTTTAAAAAAATATATTTTTTTTTCAAATATGTGTATGGTGTATTATAAATTTTGATCTTATTTGTTGATTTATTTATTTATTCATTCAACTATTTTTTTTTATAAAATGCCTAATAAAATATAAATATAAACCTAACGTTATGGGCGGGAAGGTGGGGGAGACAGAGGTGTTGTCAGTGCTGACTACCCTTCCACTCCCTCAATTGTAGAAGGCCCCTGCCAACATGGAATACCACACGCAGAAAATCACAATGTGGAAGAATAATCGGCACGGAGGAGGCTGGGTTTTCACCCACTGAAATTGCCCGAGAATTGGGGTTTTGTCGGTCAACTGTATATTATTGGATTAAGCGATGGGAAGAGGAAGGAAGTTTAAAGGACCACCACAGGGCGGGAATGTCGCGCAGAACAACACTTGCACAAGTTGAAGCCATCCGGAATTTCGCTGAGGCCAACCCCTTCAAGACTTCATTTTCAATAAGAGAGGATCTCCAATTAAATATTTCCCCTTTAACAATCGAGCGAAGACTTCACGAAGGAAGCATTCAGCATAGAACTCCCGCCACCAAGGAGAAGTTAAATGAGCGACATCGCGAGGGCAGGTTATAGTTTGCTCGACGGTATGCTGGAGAAGGCCTAGATTTCTGGGGAAGAGTAATATTCACTGACGATAAAACTTTCTCATCTACCTCTCACGGAAGGTTGCATTGCTGGAAGAGGAACAACACCTGATATGCTAGACAGCATATTTATGAGGAAGCAAGGAGTGGCCATGTGACTTGGAATGTTTGGGGATGGAAATATTTGCAATGAGTTGAAGAGCTGACTGACATAGAAGGAAGATTCACAGCTGAACAGTATTTAGAAATACTCGAAGTTATGCTTCCCTCGGTACGTGCATATGTTTTCCCGTTTCCCTAAAACATAATTTTCATGCCCGATAGGTGTCCTATCCGGTGACCGGATAAAACCCCAACGGACAAAACCCCAGTCTCATATTTAAAATATAAAATAAAACACTTTTAAGCTTAGGTTAGGTTATGTTCACTTAGCCTAGGTTAGGTTAGGTTAGTGTTGACAAATGACAACCCCGTTGGGGTTTTGTCATGGAACCGTCCTATCCATACCGCAAGGATTGTAAAAAGGTGGTTTGCAGAACAAAGAAATTTGCAAGTTTTAGACTGGCCAGGTGAAGGTTGTGACATGAACCCTATAGAGAACGTTTGGGCCAATATTGTGAGCGAGTAGGATCCAACTGAAGAGTGAACCAGGGTGCAGCTACAGGAGCGTACACACCGTGAGTGGGAGGTACTGAGGCGGAAACCGCAACTGATACACAACCACCACCTGGCCTCCGTTCCCAACAGGCTGCAGCAAGTAATGAGAATGAAGGTGGCTGGACTAAATATTAATGTGTCAGAAATAATTTCCCTATGTAATCAACGTCACATACTGAAAGTACATCGATATTATTTTTTCCATGTTAACAAATAAATATAATTTTCATGAATATAAATCAAATTGTATAATAAATGTAAAGGAAACAATCCTCTTCTAATATCCTCACTTATGCAGTATGTATTCAGGATGATTTAAGTCAAACAAATCCTAACATTATACTTATAGTTATTATGAAATAGAACAGCATAATATATGATAAATATATTGCATGTGAAATAATTACCATATATACCACGGAAAAAATCAGAGAGGGAGACGGAGACAAAGAAACAACTGTATAATGACACAATTCATACAATACTGTATGTAATGGTTCCGATCACAGCTGTCCGATACGGCTCTTCAAGGCACTTGTGACGAGGAAATTGATCTTTCATATTTCAATCTCAT